GACGTGTTCCGACTTCGACCAATACGCAGTAATGCCGATTCCTCTGTCTGTACATGTGCTATCTTACTATTTACTATGCATTCCTTGCACTCCGAGTGGAACACACGGCTTCAGCAGCACATAGAAATTGTACCCTTCCATCACTTTCAGGTGGCTCCACAAGCTCTCATCTCCTCTTCAATTGATGTCCTCCATGTCCCCCTTTCATGCTCAACTCGTCGCTTCCCATTTGGGGTTACACTCGACAGGCTGACATGTAATCCTACAAAAGTATCTCACTGGCGTATGTTCAGTGCATCTGCATTTCCTTCTGGGTACTTGTTGGCTAATGAGTTCTCGGATGGTTCACTGTCAGAGTTTCTTGTTGCTTGTCTTTTCTAACCATCTGATCTTCTGCATCAAGCGAAGGCAGCTGTTGACGGAAGTCTGTGGTAGCCTGTTGCAAATGCTGTTCGTGACGTGTGCGTCAAGTCTCTGAAACGGACACAAGCACTTACTTGACATGAGTGTTAAAAATTATGATCTTATAACTTTCAGTTGACCCAACGAATGTTTGTCTTCTGACTCCCACGGAGTACGGAATAATCGAGTCGACGACGATTAGAAAGACCATTGGTGATAGCAGACAGCCTTGTCTTACTCCTGTCTTCAATTCAAAGCCTTCAATCGACCTTCGATTGTGAATAACGTGGTACGGGGCATCCTTGAATAGCAGTTGAATGAGGCTTATAAATGTTTGAGGCACTGGAATCCATAGTGTTCAGGTAGTTGTCAAATGCCTTGACTGTCGACGCCCTCGAAGACCTTTACAAAGTCGACGAAGTTGAAGTGAAGAGTTGACTGGCATTCTATCATCTGTTTAGCGATGATGTGTATGTAGTGCTGCGATTCGGTCGGCGGATGACTTGTTTCTCCTGAAGTCAACGAAGTCTTCCTACTCACATCATCTTGTATGTCTTTCAAGGGTGAGGTGGTTCAGCATCACTTCTTGAATGAATAGGCTCAAATCGGTCTTCTTTGACAGTGTTACAAAGTGGCCTTCTTCCAATAGTCAGGTAGGTACCTTTCCTTCCTCCACACCCTGTGTAGTAGTAACATGAGTATGTCCACCTGAGGTCTCTGAGTCGGTTTTCAGTGCTTCTGGATGGGGACATTCCATTTCATCCCACTGAGTTCTGGGTTGGCTTTCAGTAACTTCAGAGTTTCTACAGTCTTAAGTGCACAGTAGTAGGAGGCTTAATCACGGCTAAAGATGAAAATCTCCGGGAAAACTAGGCTGACACCTTTATTTCTTCACATGAATGTGGCATAAGGCACTATCAGTGAAGTCCAATGGCACTACCACTCACTCATCGGAATCGAGACCCAGCGAGTAAATCTCCTCACTGAAGCCCGTATATTTGAACACTCGTGTTCTCCTCATTGAAGAGCATGGTGGGCCATCTGCTTCCAGCGGTATTGGTGAAGGATTTCCACACTTGATTTTACGAAACCTCATAACAGATGTGTCTTTTGACGGCCCTATATTCGCTTCTCGCTTCACAGAGATTGATATCCTCACGGGAAACACTTTCATTGGGTCAAGGAACGCAGATAATATTGTTCTGTTGGGCGAAGAGACTGAAAAATCCAGAATCTTCCAAACATTTCCGGTGACAAACACAGAATGTTTTCAATGCATTTATCACAAATGGGAAACGTCAACTTAGTAGTACCGGTCTGTGTAGATAATCCATTTGGCTATGTGGAGTGAAGTAGTTGGTTGCATCGACTATTTCACTTACCTTGTAAATCGAATTGACATTAATGCGATGACTGCAGGCTGTCTGGCTGAAAATGTACATCTGTCACCCAGATCTATTCGCGCCTTATTTTACTGTTGATTATCCCCCATCTGTTTGTCTTCATTATCTATTCTTCTCCTTCTTCTTCTCCTTCTTCATGCCAGTAGAACTTCGCTTTTATCGTTCCCATTCGATTATCTCCCACTTTGTCTCACTCTAAATGATGCACACAAATGACGTGTTCCGACTTCGACCAATACGCAGTAATGCCGATTCCTCTGTCTGTACATGTGCTATCTTACTATTTACTATGCATTCCTTGCACTCCGAGTGGAACACACGGCTTCAGCAGCACATAGAAATTGTACCCTTCCATCACTTTCAGGTGGCTCCACAAGCTCTCATCTCCTCTTCAATTGATGTCCTCCATGTCCCCCTTTCATGCTCAACTCGTCGCTTCCCATTTGGGGTTACACTCGACAGGCTGACATGTAATCCTACAAAAGTATCTCACTGGCGTATGTTCAGTGCATCTGCATTTCCTTCTGGGTACTTGTTGGCTAGTGAGTTCTCGGATGGTTCACTGTCAGAGTTTCTTGTTGCTTGTCTTTTCTAACCATCTGATCTTCTGCATCAAGCGAAGGCAGCTGTTGACGGAAGTCTGTGGTAGCCTGTTGGAAATGCTGTTCGTGACGTGTGCGTCAAGTCTCTGAAACGGACACAAGCACTTACTTGACATGAGTGTTAAAAATTATGATCTTATAACTTTCAGTTGACCCAACGAATGTTTGTCTTCTGACTCCCACGGAGTACGGAATAATCGAGTCGACGACGATTAGAAAGACCATTGGTGATAGCAGACAGCCTTGTCTTACTCCTGTCTTCAATTCAAAGCCTTCAATCGACCTTCGATTGTGAATAACGTGGTACGGGGCATCCTTGAATAGCAGTTGAATGAGGCTTATAAATGTTTGAGGCACTGGAATCCATAGTGTTCAGGTAGTTGTCAAATGCCTTGACTGTCGACGCCCTCGAAGACCTTTACAAAGTCGACGAAGTTGAAGTGAAGAGTTGACTGGCATTCTATCATCTGTTTAGCGATGATGTGTATGTAGTGCTGCGATTCGGTCGGCGGATGACTTGTTTCTCCTGAAGTCAACGAAGTCTTCCTACTCACATCATCTTGTATGTCTTTCAAGGGTGAGGTGGTTCAGCATCACTTCTTGAATGAATAGGCTCAAATCGGTCTTCTTTGACAGTGTTACAAAGTGGCCTTCTTCCAATAGTCAGGTAGGTACCTTTCCTTCCTCCACACCCTGTGTAGTAGTAACATGAGTATGTCCACCTGAGGTCTCTGAGTCGGTTTTCAGTGCTTCTGGATGGGGACATTCCATTTCATCCCACTGAGTTCTGGGTTGGCTTTCAGTAACTTCAGAGTTTCTACAGTCTTAAGTGCACAGTAGTAGGAGGCTTAATCACGGCTAAAGATGAAAATCTCCGGGAAAACTAGGCTGACACCTTTATTTCTTCACATGAATGTGGCATAAGGCACTATCAGTGAAGTCCAATGGCACTACCACTCACTCATCGGAATCGAGACCCAGCGAGTAAATCTCCTCACTGAAGCCCGTATATTTGAACACTCGTGTTCTCCTCATTGAAGAGCATGGTGGGCCATCTGCTTCCAGCGGTATTGGTGAAGGATTTCCACACTTGATTTTACGAAACCTCATAACAGATGTGTCTTTTGACGGCCCTATATTCGCTTCTCGCTTCACAGAGATTGATATCCTCACGGGAAACACTTTCATTGGGTCAAGGAACGCAGATAATATTGTTCTGTTGGGCGAAGAGACTGAAAAATCCAGAATCTTCCAAACATTTCCGGTGACAAACACAGAATGTTTTCAATGCATTTATCACAAATGGGAAACGTCAACTTAGTAGTACCGGTCTGTGTAGATAATCCATTTGGCTATGTGGAGTGAAGTAGTTGGTTGCATCGACTATTTCACTTACCTTGTAAATCGAATTGACATTAATGCGATGACTGCAGTCTCTCTGGTTATGACGTGTATGCTATAGTTGACGCGATATGGAATATTTTATTGAGAGGGTTTTTATCTTTTCTATGATTTTATGATAGGTCTTTTTGTTTTTCTTTCTCGAGTTTTTTCAATTTTATTTTCTCGCTTAATCATTTTTTTTTCTGAATTGGATTTGGATGAAGAAACTTTAATCTGTCGTTACCTACCAATCCTTAGTTTTATGTTATATCAGCCTTTACCAGTGTTTCTGCAATTTCGGATATTATGCCGGGCATCTTCAGGAAGGCTCTTGCTGTCATTCTCGAACACGCATTTAGCTAATTCTTCCTTAGATATAGAATTCGTATTATCATCAAGTTTGTGGTGTGTCTGTTTCCTACGTCTGAATTACGACATACATCCATGGCTCGGGATTGCAGAGTTCCTATTAGTGAGGCCTGTTGTCCGAATTGGCTTACTGACACCTATCCTAGTTACTATTTATGAGGATTCTAGTGGTTACTGATTCGGAACTCTGTGGGGACCGGAAACATTGACGCAATAGCAACTAAAACACAGGCAAGCACTACACTGGGTATCAGTTAAACTATTCGTCATACACCTTCTGAGTATATAATTTTCGTTTCACATGACTGGCCAATTTTATTAACAAGCAATATCTTATCGCAATACACTTGCAACAAGAAATCATCATAAAGTTCCATGTAGTGGACAAATATTGACTGCTATGGTGCGTTAACCAATAAATAGTACCACGTAATCTGTAAACCCTACCACACAGAGCAAGATTAAAACCCAATATTCGATAGTTGAATATTTAGTCGCATTAGTCACACCTAGGTGATTACTTTAGAGTCATAACAAAGCATATATGTTTTAATTGTCCAATCACAAAGATGAGTGACCTGACGATAATATCCAACTATTCTTATTAGATTCGACATTACTCAGATTGATTAAGACACGATGTGTTCATAGCGCGAAGTTTGACATCAAACACCATGCAGCACGTAATTAAAAGCTGCGGCTCGATAAAAATGGATTTTCTTGAAGTATTTTTTTTATTTGAAAATCCAGTAAAATATGAAAAAAGGTTATGCTGTATGCAAATATCTTCCTACAAAATTGTATGGTAACTTATTAGCGAAAACTGTACAATTATCAGTATTCAGGAGGTTGTTTTCAATGCCATTCGTTGTTCAGACAGCCAATCCACTAGACCTGCAAAACATCCTACATTATGTAAGAATAATCTCCTCGTTTTGTCCAAATGCTGCTCCATCATCCAATAAGCGTGTTGGTGAATAATAGCAAAGTTTGTGCCACCTGTGTATTGTGCAGATAAATGTAACCAGCTCTCGTACAAATGATAGAGCGAATTCTCGCTTTTAATGCAGTTCGGTGCAAATAAATAGGGTGTTTTTAGTAAAGCTCTGCCAGCCATAACACCTGGGAAGAAAAATTTCACAAATAAGAAAAGTTTTACTACATAGTGAATTCTTCATATGTTATACGCAAAAAAGGGGTAATGCAGGGAATCAATGCAGTTTAACTTCTCACCACTCAATCATAACTAGGTAACGTAATCATATTTAGGTATGCATATAAATAAACTATATCAGAATAATTTATTCAATAGCGTAAGAGGTACCTGATAAACTAATGCTATCCAAAGCCACCTTGCTGCAAAATCAGGGTTTTAGTTGTACACACTTGTCTAGAATGTCTACACACATTTCCTTCCAGTTAACTTTAATCATGTTTCAGTGTCTTTCTATACACATTTCCTCGGAGATATCGCTGAATGTCTCCATCTGTTTACTGATGCCTGCAGTGTAAGTGACCTTTAAAAGTTCAGCTTCTGTGCGTGGAAACAGAGATGTTGCGGCCTATCTCCAACTTCTTTGAAACCCATTTACTTGATCTGGAAGGCTCCCTGACCTAGACAGTGGTCTGCGCCTACATCCACCCCTCTCAATTTTTATTCATGCAGACTGTCCAATTTTTCCGATATTGGGATTAAGTTGATCTGATTTTTAGTATGTATATATATATATATATATATATATATATATATATATATATAGACTTAATTCACCTTGCGGATATCTTTCTGCTTGTAAATGCTGCTTGCAGTCACCTAATTACATCATTCAATGTAATCTTGGTATCAATTATCTGGTCGGTGTATTGTCAGTTCCTGCTCACAGTTGCCTGTGGAAGTCCTTCCTCTGCACTTTGTTGTTTGTAGGTGTGTTGCACTGCGTAATTGTGACTTTCTTTCACTTTCACAGTTGAAACTTACCCTCAAAATATTAAAGGAGACTGGTTTACAATTCATTTGACTTTTTCATGTTGTTTGACAAACATCATCGTACCTAGTCCAAACGCACACATAGTTGTCATTTGGCTGGCACGAATAGATTACTGACCCTCCTACGAGTACAAATTCGGACACTCAACTTCTATTCCGTTATCTCTCATATATTCCTAGCACTTGTATGCTCTATCTTCTCACCTTTCCTGCAATCTGAGCAGCCTTATCAGCCAACTTCAAGAATGACACTCCATTCTCGCATGTTTAGGTTTGCTACCATAGAAAGAAGACCTACTTATTTCTTAAAGCCTTTACCCACAGAAGCCACCAGTCCTCGAATTGGAGAGCCTTATCTTTTGTAGCAGAGAACAGGTTTATTTTTGCTGTTCTCTGACATTTCAGTAGAGAAGGGGTTTACTAGCCCGCCTTCCCTTCGAGGTAAACTAAGCGAAGTTTAGTTACAGTGTCTAACAAACTTATTTTAGTCGGACACTGACGTATTCCAGACATCGGTATCGTATCCAAAGTCACCGAAATTACCTTCTACTTGTCACTGTAAGGTACAGGTAGTTACCAGGCTTTGTCTGATTACTTAGGTCCGTGATCAATTTGACAAACTACGACAAAAATATAAATAAAAAAGCCCGATGATTCTCCATCCGTAAAATAGAACAAAGCCAACTGCCACACACTATGCATACCCTTCGATGGACGGAGAGATAGATATTACGTCAGCACCAAAGATTACGCTCTTAAATGACTGCCTGATTTAGAGTAAAGTGCTTTGATCAGTGAAGTATGCTTTGTCCGTAATGCCTCCACAAACAGAAACTTGTTGGTAAAGGAAGTCAAGTACCGCCTTAAAACCGACCAAGAAATGTAACGCATTACTGACGTCGCTAAGTGTATGTTTTCTCTGAAACTAGTTAAAGAGAGAAGATACAAATACGACACCCCAATATGGGTTTGAAACATGACCCGTTGTCACAGGTTTATCATGGGATTTCATATTAGATGGCTAAATGTCTCTAACTGCTTATCCAATAATATTTATATTCTGAATACATGTATTCCCCTTAATGAATTTGAATAAAGCAAGAACAATAGTTTATGCTTATGGACAAAGATAACTATGGTGCAGAGATGAAAACTGTGTTGAATGACCCATTGAGGTTTACAGTTAACAATTGCCAAGAATACAAAACAGATGCAGCTGAAAAACGTATCACAAACGTATTGAGAGATCTTCTAAAGAAGAAAGTGACTGGAGAAAATGCTTACAGTGGTTTGAAACCGTGAGGGTCTCGTTTGCCGTACATGTATGATCTTCCAAAGACACACAAAAAATATGTCCCCCTGAGACCTGTACTTCTGATGATCAACTCGCCTCAGCAAAAGGTTGTTTGCTGGCTTGTAGAGAAACCATTCGTCAACAATTCATTTTATTTTGTCGGAAGCGTGAACCAAATGAACGTTTCAAATAATTCCATATTAGTTTGATTATTAAATGTATCACACAGTGAAACAGTATTGTATACAGTATACAATACTGTTTCACTGTGTGATACATTTAATAATCAAACTAATATGGAATTACTTAATACCACAGTGCCCAAGTTTTACACATATATTACCGTTTCAAATAAGTTAAGAGCGCCATTTGATGCAACTTCCTTGTTCACAATTATCCCAATCAACAACGCTATCGAGATGATTTGTTAGCATTCTGATCTTCTCCCACCTCCAGAGTCGGAATTTAAACGCCTACTGCTAGTGTGTAGCATGGAAGTATAATTCCAGTTTGACAACACTCTTTATCGCTAAATAGATGGTGTAGCTATGGGCAGTCAAGTTGACCCTGTTTTAGCAGATATCTTCATGTCCAACCTTGAGAAAACAATGTTGAAGCATGCGACTGACGAAACAACTTCTTATGGTCGATATGTCGATGACACATTTGCAGTGTGCAACAATCAAAATCATGCTTCCTATTTACTCGAATTATTCAACGACGCACATACAAATGTTGAATTTACTATAGAACATGAAAGTAATATAAATTTCCATTTTACTCGACATCGCTATGCAATGCCTGGAAGACGTTAGTCTTCAGAGGTCAATTTACCGAAAGCCTACATGGAATGGATAATACCTACATTTTAACACCTTTGTCCAAATAACTATAAACAAGCACTAGTCAAAACTCTGTACTACAGAGCTAGGAGAATATGCGCTCTACAGAGAAATTAGAGAAAAATTTATGATCCTAGAAAAGATATTGAAAGAAAACGGTTACACTCAGAGATTTATTAAGAAGTATGAAAGATGTGACGGCTCAGATGTCAAACAAATCATAGTCGGAAAAACGCCTGTCTGCATTTATCTCGATTTTAAAGGTAACAATATTGCAGCAATAGTCGACAGAAGATTGAGTACGTCACTAGCCAAAGCCTAAACTGGTTCCCTTCTATTGAACTACTTATTCTTTGGTGCAATCAAAAGTCGACAGATATCCTTCTCATGTTAACTCCAGCTGTATATGCAAATTAACATATATCTCCGGGGGTAGTTACATTAGAAGAACAGCGAGAAAGGTATACTCCCGATTTTCTAAACATGTATCCATGTCTTAGGAGAACAAATGCTTCAAACAGTGCCATCGCCAGACATCTCCTTGACACGAGTCATGAGGTGGACATAGCTAGATCGTTCAAAATTGTCAATAGGCAAGAGTCCAATCACCCTAAAGTTTACCGAAGCAATCTCTATCAAGTGCTTAAAACCCCGATTTATACGTTCAGAAAGAAGCAGTTATCAGCTTTTCCTTGCCCTGCTAACTGAATGTCTCTACTCTGTCTTTCATTCGATTACGTAATCGCTGACTTCAACCTCACCCCACTTGGATATAGTATACTATTACACAATTTATTAGTCACTCATTATCTTATCCCCCTCTCGTCTGTATTATTTGACTTCTCTAGCATTGTATTGTATACATACACCGACTTTGTTTAAACTTGTACTCCTTGTATAAAAACTATGTAAGTGCAATTTTCTGTTCATTAAATTTGGGACCTCCTGTCAACTGATATCATGTAAATTTTGCAAGTATGTTAAAACTTTCTCGTACACAAACTTAATCATTTATTTACGCTGTAAGTAACTGATGAGAAGCCAACGAAATAGATGATGATATCATTATATTCTGCACAAACTCTTGTTCTTGCTCTTTCCAATTATTTATTTTACTGTTACATGTGGACGGATGAAAGATACAAGATACCAGATACAAAAATAAACCCTCGTAATATGATTTGTTCTGTCATTAGCTTACTTCTAGTAAAATACTTACCATGACAACCGGTCATTTCATAGGCATGATGTGCATCTTTCAGTTCACGAATATCACCATTTAGTATAATGGGTAGTTCACTGCCTACAGAGGAATGTTTAATTTTACAATCGACTAATTCTTGAACAATATTCCATGATGCCGGATCTCTATTACGTTGATGTTGTGTTCGTGCATGCAATGTAACCCAGTCAACACCCATTACAGCCAAACGCCGAACAAGTTCTACAGTAAGTTTAATCTAAATACAAAGGAAATAATCTAAGATTTTCTACGTATTTCGAATTTTGTGAATAATGCATAAATAGCAAAATGAATCTTTAACAAAAAGATTGGTTTCTAAACAAAACTGAAAAAATAGATGCAATCGATTGAACAACTGAATGTACTTATAGATTAATATGTAACATGTATAAACTAATTTGAAATATTATAACTTACAGGGTCACATGATTCACCCCCAACAGATCTACTAGAGGAAGTAGGTATACGAATTTTAGCAGAAACTGAAAATGGACCTTGGAATCGTGTCACCTGATGAATTTTTCTTTGAACTTCTTTACTTTCATTCAACTTTGACAACTCTTCTGTATCGTTAGTTTCACATAATGCTGAAGGGTCACTGTCATTTAATGAACGCCATCGTGGAACTGTATCTCGAGCAGCACGTACAATACTGGCAATTTTTTCTGGTTCTCTCAATAATGCTGATCCTAAACCACAACCGACTGCCCAACTGAAAAAGTAAATATCAAGGAGAAAACTATTCAAAACATCTTGAACTTATTGTATATATATATATATATATATATATACTGTACCACTCGATCATTTTATGAGAAAGGTAAACTATACACTGAAGCTGAGAAAGACAAAATATTGTGTAGCTACCATGAGGACAGTATTTCATGATAGACCTTCATTAACAGCTGCCTTCGCTCAACACTCAAGATGAGATGGCCAGAAAACATCAGCAACAGGGACCTCTGGAAATGAACGAACCAACCAGGAACCAATTGTGTAGTAAATAGGCAAGAAGAAATGGAGATAGATTGGCCATACTCTGAGGAAACCATCAAGTGACATCACTAGACAAGCCTTCGCTCGAGTGGAACCCGAAAGGGAAGCGGCGAGCTGGTCATCAGCGCGAGGGGGACTTGGAGGAGGTCATGTGAAGAGGAGATGGAAGCATGTGGGCAGACTTGGAGCGGGGTGAAAACTCTAGCAGAGAACCAAACGCAATGCAGACATCAAGCTTTCAGCTTCTAAATTTCTTTGAATGCCCCTGTGTTGTCGCAATAGTCCTAATGAACAGTTCGTCTTATTTTTATCCCCAGAGAAGAACCTTATGCGTAGGCCAACAGTAGACGTGCAATAATTTACTTTCATCAAATAGAAATCGTTCTTACAGTTATGGACTATGCTTTGCCTGTTAACTTCTTTCAACCCAGTGAGATATAAAGTACAAGTGAGAATAGATGTTGGTGTAAATTTAGAGTATATGGTTAACCATTGTCATATAGTCCTAAATTTGTTGAGACTAGATTTTATGGAGATTAGCTCGAAAGGGAACTGCAGTGCACCTTCCCAGCATCAAATTACAGCTAGGGCTGAAACTAACAAACTAAAGTGAATCAACAAAACAGAAACTAACTAAAGATGGACAGAAAGCAAAAGCAACAAAGAACCTATTGCCCGACATATATGCAAAAGTAAGTAGAGGTAGACTGACTATACACTAAGGGCACAGTTGGTTGACTTTATGTGCCAAGCACTCGAGTGGAACCGGAATGAGAAACAACTAGTTGACCACCTGAAGGCAATATGGAACTTATGAGCAATCATGAAGTCAGATAAAAAAGACTTCAGAGAAACGAATAAAACGGAGACGTGTTGCTAAAGCCTTATATCCAATTTGGAATGCAAGGGAATAATAATAGTAACTGAATAAACTTCCACGATGACTTCTCACGCTAAATGTGTTTTTCAGTCTCGGTTTAATGGGCAAACATCTGATCGAACTTTGACACCATTTCGAGCATTCATACAATGTCTAGCTCATCCACATTAGATAAGTTTTAAAACCTTTCCCCAAAATAATCATGGCATTTCATACTATTATCTCATACTCACTTGCCTTTCAATAGTGGTTGAAAACAGACACTACCCTACACTTCAGCTTCCTACTTTCTGAACATGTCGACCAGTTGAATGGTTCGTCCACATAGAAGCTTAGTTTGTACTGTAACAGATTCACTAACAAGAAATTAAGCAGAACTTAGTTATTGTGAGCCCATTTAAAAACATTAGTGAGGATCTTTCAGATGTTCTAGATGCTTCTGCATCAAACAAAGGATCGTCTAAAGGCCGTTCTCATCGAAGGAGATGCACTTAACGATCAACAAAAAATGCCAGAACTGTTTATATATGTACATCCTTTTAATTGTAAGCCACACATGCTTGACGAAATGAAGCAGTTGGTCGAAGACTTCAAAACTGACGACCCATTCCATACAATACTGACAACCTTCCACCAGATACGAATTCCTTTAACGATGTGTCCGGTAGGTGAGTAATCCAACGTCGGTTTCATTAAAACTCACCAGAAATACAGTCTTATCAAATGAAGTAACTATTTTGTATGTGTAAAAACCACACTGATGAGAGGTAGATTTCATGAAAAAATCAGCTAAACTACATCAAAATCAAAATCTGAGTTCAGCGAACGCAATATCCAATAAATGTACAAGCTAATCAGAGTAATGTCACAGGGTTTTAGCAAAATTTCAGATGGTATTCATCACTTCTATGTTTTACGAATACATAGTGGTAATTTAGGCTTTATAATTGAAATATGCAAAACAAATTCTAACACGCATTGATTCTTTAAAACAAATAAATATACCAACTTACGATTGTGGACAACCACAATTCAAGTCCACCCCATCACAATATGGTGCAAGCATTTCAGTTGCCATAGTAAATTCACAAGGATCATTTGACGCCAGTTGTACAATCAGTGGTCTATCTTCTATAATAAATCAATCAGCGAAATAATATATTTAAATATATATGAACAAATAAAAAAGTTAACCATCCTGTCTATGTAAGTGGATGAAGACGAAAACTATTAGTTAATTTGTGAGTTAACCAATCGGTAAAATACCGACTAATTATTTGCGTAATGAATTGCCTACTAGGCTGGAAATTCTAATCATAAAAGAAAAGGCGTTAGGGGGTCATTTATTCATTGGCGATGGAACCTTCGATTCTCTGAGGCTGTCTGGGTGGTACACACGCTGATTTTATGGATTACTGAAAGTTTACAGGAAAGACATACTTCCTCGACTCACTGTTGATATGACTACTAGACTAACTAGAACCAGTCAGAAGGCACATTTCCTGCCACTCACTCCGAGACTCCCTAGATTTTGTCAGTTCCATTGAAAACCTCAGTGCTTCTAATCTAGCCATCATTGTTTAAGAACGTCCCACTAACAGTAAGAATATGCTGTATATGTGAAAAATACTGATTAAAAGGCGATGAACATTGGTATACCCACTGAATGCTTGAGGGAACTGCTATTGAGATGCACCCTAAATGTCCAATTCTACTTCAGTAAAGAAATATATATCGACAAAAAGATGGTATAGCTATGGGCTCAACACTTGACCCGTTGCTTGCAAATTTTTTCATGCCAAAAATAGAAGAGATATATGTAAAGAAAATGATTGACAACTTTGCGTTTTACAAGAGATACGCGAACGACACTTTCATTATCTTTAACAATGACGAGAAATCGGAGAACATATTGGACTTCTTCATCAGCTCCATTATGGATAAGATTTTATTTTGATAAATCACAGTGTTATACAGTTAATATTACTGTGTAACACTGTGATATATATATATATATATATATATATATATATATATATATATAGTTGTGCAGTTTAAGAATGATATCTCCGGAAAGAATAACTCTTTGCTGAACGCCTTTTCTTTTATGTGGCTCAATGCATTTATAATGACTGAGGGTCATTAATTACTTGATGACGGACGGTTCATATGACATTTTTTCCCTTCACGTTCCCCAGTGGAACATAGGGCCTCAAGCTAGTGGCTTGAAGATTATGTAGCACTACTTAATTGTACAGGATGGGTTTGCTAGTCTCATGCCCAACCTTTCATCTTTATCAGCATTATTTCTGGATCAGTGAGGTAAAGGAGTGCGCCGGCCTCCTTTACCTCACTGGCATAGTTAATAAAAAAGCCAATTAACTCAGAACGTGATTTTCATCGGCCTAGTGAATAACTCTTTGGAGTCTGAAAGGTTTGGGAACACTGTGGCTTAGTAGGGTGCAGTCACATCCGACTAATGAGTCCTCAATAAGAAGAAAAGCATATTCTAGATTCTACTACAAGACACTTCCCGTGTCAAGTAATATAAAATATTTTGTCAGCAGTCACCAACAATCCAAAATGATGATAAAATTATGTGCAGTTTTTGCATAGTTACACTAACTGTTCATGCGTGAAAGTTGAATAGCAGATAGTAAACTGCACTACTCAATTTTTAAATAGGCATTCAGTTATCTCGCCTGTACCACAGGTGGAAAATATTAACATAACTCCAATGAAAGTCTTTTTTACCAATGAGATGTCCTTAGTCAGTAACCAACTGAAAAAAAATCGTCCACAATATGACGAATGTGGATGGTACGTAGTCCCACTGTATAATACCTGTGATATATTTCGCCTCAGGTTCAAAAGTGGACAAAATATCACTTCATATTACCTCAAATTGCACGTACCAGTTTACACGTACATGCCAGAGCACATGCAATGGAACAACAGAGAAAAGTTATTGTTTATATTTTCGAACACATACCTAAGAATTTCATCATGAGCTGACATTAGTTAGAGAATCATTGGAAAACCTGGGAGTACTCCCAGGTTTTCCAATGATTCTCTAACTAATGTCAGCTCATGATGAAATCCTGAAACCAATCAAATCCCTACAAACCATCACTTGACATACCTAAGAACCTGAGATGAAAACGTTCGCACGCATTAAACAGTGCGATGCTCCCAGTCTATTGGACACTGGTCATATTGAGGACAATCACACAACATTCAAAAAATTAACAGAATCCTTGACCAAATAGATCGAGTGAATGAGCTCACAATTATTAGGCTTCTTCGAGAACAGAATCAACAAGACTGTTTGGTTTCAATGTAGAACTTTGCACAGATGTCCAGCAGTTCGAGTTGCCACAATCAATGTAGCACACAAACTAAGAGAAGACAGTAAGGACAGATTCAAAAGAGAGTCAATAAACAGAAATATGAGGCGAAAAGAATATTAATATGGAGGAAATATATAGTTTTATTAGGTATTATGAGTCACAAGGAGTCAACGCTGTCATTAAAAACGATTTCAAGCCATATCACCAATTGTCTCCAGCCTACATTGATTTTCACCATCCCGAGGACACACACAACGAAGTCTACACCTCCCTACGTCAATGGCTCAAACTAACTGTTATGGACTTCACCCACTGACGAAGCTATGTTTCGGTTTGATCACCACCACCACCAATAGCTTCTTTACAACCTGATCCATCCTGTGTCACCTAACATCGCTCGTTGAGGAAGGCGATCGATGGGTAGGCATGCGTGACACATGTCCTGACCATCTCAATAGATGCAACTTCACAACCTCGTCGATTGATTTCCCTCGCTTACCTAACATTCCACGCCTAACCTCAACACTGCTCACCTTATTATACCACTTCACACAGGAGACAGAACGCAGAAATCAGCATAGACCGTTTTTTTTCACACAGAAAGTTGGTATTTATTAGGCGAGAAACGCAATTATGTGTCTTTTCAGGCTACTCTTAGACTTTCGAATTTTATCAGAACGCTTGTATAACATGCATAAATTATCTGATTTTTATAAGCTACAAGAACGGCGACAAAAAAGAGTATAATCCTAGATAGGTTAGACGATGTACAACATTTAATAGGTTTCAGTATAAATGAAGGTGAATAGCCATAGAGCCAACTAACCTAGGAAATAGTTTTGATATACATAAATAAATCATATAAAACTATTAGTTGGATAATAATAAACCGTGTATGTAATTCAGAGGCATTCAATAGCAGACATAAAAACTACACAAGTTCTGCATAATCCTTCAACCCATTTAGGTTGATTTCCTCGTAACTGTTTTTAAACAATTAAATGTAATACCATGCAGTTGACAATGAGCCCTATCTCCTGAGGGCTGATTATACTGGCCAGGTCTGTTCCAACCCCAGGGCGTGGAAAGGGGCTTGAACCCATCACCCGTTGGTTGGATGTCAAGCGCTTAGACCAAAGAGTCACAGCCCCACATTCCCCCGTTATCAGAAAGATTCTATGAATACAAGCGATTAGAACTAGAAAACCAATTATGCAAGATGCTAAAATAACGACTAGAAATTCAAAAGAACCACTGTTGGATAAGTGGCCAAAATAATAGAAATCACGCTATTTCTGAATATTTACTTTTCAATTATGAACTTGAGTATAGAGCTGATAGAATTATTCCTTGAAACAAATGACACACTGACTTAGCAGAGTGATATAACAGTCGGCCATCGACTAAACTCATTTCAACTCTATCATCTTCCTATTTTGCTGGGAATTAACTAAAAAGTAGGACCAGTTATCAGCAACTGATGCTCGTTAATTCAATTGTTCAAGTACTTTGTCGAGTGATTTCTGCGAATTAGAGCAGTTTAAGGATATTTTTTTCTTAAAGCAAATAAATTCCCTAGCATAGGCTTTTATGTATTAAGCTGCACATGATGTGCGACTTCCTTTGACTGTTTTCATCGTTGAAATCAAGTAGGGCGGGGGTGGTTCGAGTCAGCATCCAGCAGTCGGAAATGAAGTAGTTAAGCTGATGAGTTACCTTTACCGACAGTCTACCACAGTAAATGCCTACTGTAAACATGGCATCTTTAATATTTAATAATAGTCTAAAAATCTGACTTCCATGTAAGCCAAAATGTTATTTAACCTTTTTTTATCATGACTTCTTAGCGCTGCCAAGGAAATGCAATTCCACTTAGTTGTCAGAGCACGTAGCCATGTTGTAAGAAAGATAAAATTTTATTTTCTCTTACCTGGACAAGTGGTGAAGTCTACATTTCTCGCTTTCTCAGATCGAATAAATGAATTAGCCAGTATCATAGGAGTATGAACTAGATCCACATCATATTGCCGAAGAAGTAGACGGAATGGCAATCTGAATACAAAAAAAAGCACTGGAATAATTGTACTGTAAAGAAGTTTTAGGTAAAAATATCAAATTCAATCTGAACCAAACGAAGAACTATACACATGACGTTAGTCACGACCAAATGTGCGATCAAAGTACACATCAATCATGCACTACGCAGAAATTAAAAACATTCACAAGAAACAGGTAGAAAGTGTGGGTCACCCAAAACATGTTATGTTTTCAGTCGTTCAGTGATACACTGTGTGAATTGATCAAATGTCAAAATCTTGGGAGAGGTATTAGTAATTCTCGCTGATTGGCGTCAGCGAATACGAAACAAATGTCTGTGCTTCCAACCGATTAGTTTGTATTATCCAATACCAATAGTAACGTGTTAACAATAAAGCTGTTAGTCAGAGTTTGTTAACTGCTGTCTATATCGTATACTTGTTTTTGATATGCTTATCGCCTGGTGGTTATATCAAAAAGTGACCAGATTAGTGAAATTAACATATAAGCTAAAAGATGTAACGAGTGAGATGACATTTACAGTCTTATAAGTGAATCGGGTGAAATAAAGTGATTACTCTGAAGAGTTTCCAACCAGGGTGAAAATATTGTGTAGTGTTCAAAATAATTTCGGTTTGTGATAACACCAAACTTAATTTACTCCATTATACGCCAAATTGTTTTAAGTAGTGAAAATTCACTACCACACTCCTTACTAGCTAATTTAGCACGTCTAGTCGGCTGAAACGATTCAAAAGAAACATGGGTTACAAAATTTCCCCAAAAGTATACACTAACTTTGTATATCGAACCATAGGTGCCGAAATGCGTACAAAAGGTAAGTCATCTTTCTTGTAAAGCGCAAGTATATCCATATATCTGTAAAAATATATAAAATAATTGAAAAAAAACAATGATCTTATATTATCAGTTAAAGCTGAAACAACATTTAACCATCAGTTGCAAATTTAGGATCGAAATAATGTTCCCATGATGGGGCCCGGTTGTAGGCAATCGAAACAGCCCTCAAACTGGGTTTTGTGCCCATTGGCTACTCGTTAGTTTGGTGTAACTGCAAAATCAATGGAGCTGATACTCCTTCAGAGATGTTTTCATTGAAAGGTACAGTTATAATGTCACTGACCACAGCACTGAGTGGTGTGGTGTGCGTTCGACTCATTCATGTACTGTTTACTGACGACTTTAACTTCACGCAAGTATTTGGGTAAACTAGATAGTATTCTGTAAAAAGTTTGAGCATTGTGGATTAGATCAAATAAAGCAATAAAACAATTCCAACAGTGGTGTGAACACGGGCAGTAATTTTGCTCGAAATATTACCAATAACAAAACTTATCATTGTGTGTAAACTATTAAAATATAATTATACTTTATTAGATAGTATTCTTTAAATTCTAAGTAGATGGAAGACAATTACGTCAAGAATCAGTTAGCAATCAAACTATAAATTCAGTCAAACCAATACCAATTCTGTGATGTCGTTTAACTGGTATTAAGTAGGAAAAATAAGTTCTGTAATTTTTCCTACTGGGCTTTCAAAGAGCTTTTACTATCCTTGAACATATGTCCTAGCTACCACCTGTGCAGTCTGGATCAACGAGAATATGCCAAGGTAATAAGTCAGGCTCCCTTGAAACTTTGAAGTTGACAACAATCGCCTTTTATTAGTATATTGCCAACAAAATTTAATAAAAACAGTAAAAGTAGACATCCGTAATGAAAAACGCTAACTGCTACCACTAAAGCTGGCAACTGTCTAAACACTTTCAAGCGGCTGCATGATATTGAGTAAATGTTTGATGAGATGGTACAGTGAGAAAGTAAGAGGAAATAAAGGGAAATTTTGATATGATTATGAACAGGAAATTGTGTTCAAAATGCCATCCAGAAAAGTAATACTGTTTCACTCTGTGTGATATATCTAATAAACAAAGTATTATAGAATTAAAGGAAGGTAGGTTGTAAATTCCTAAAATGTTATCGACTTCAAACACCTACACCAGTGTGAAAAATATTAAGAAATGTTTCTGAGAACCTCAGGATACTAGGATGTAGTAACCTGAAGACACTAACCACAAAGATTGGAAAACTCATAGCAACGGTCAAAAACTTAATCTGGCCACATCTACATTTTCTAGTCTAATTAAATTTCGGTTAAAATATTATTTATTTTTTGTGACGAAAACCCCATGTTACAAGTTTCAGTTTCATAGTTTTGTAAAATAATACACTTACCTAACTATTAACTCTTTTAATGCACTAAATATGAAAATGCCAGAAAGACACCTACGATCTGACCCCTTTTCACATCTTTGCCTAAAATACTTAGAGCTTCAAGTGGAACTGAGGCTCCGACGGTACACCTTAAATGCACTGGATTCTTTTCTATCACTTTATTTCGGCTTCGGAACCTTTTTTCTCCTTAATACGATACCCCCGATTTCTCTCCTGGACGCCCACCATCTCGTCACACCAGATTCACGTTCAACTCAGAGATCAATGGCGTGATGTTACTTGAAGGTCACCTCAACGTTAAACCAATCTATCTGCATATTTGTCAGATAATACGTTCTCTGTCACAGTTTCTCGTTGCTAATCCCTTCCGACTATACGAGCTTCAGTATTGCGTGAAGACAGATGTTAGTTGACGAAAGTCTGCTGAAAAGGCTGTTAGAAATGCTTTCGTTTGAATCGTATAAAGGTGATGACTTGATATTAGTGTTGAAAGTCCAGATCATTTTACGTTTGCTGAGTGCTATGTATCTTCACATTGAATTCAGAGTAATGAAAGCTTGTTTGCTTCCTATCCTATTCTGAATGAATTCAACATCCTCACATTCGCCGCCTATAATTGCCGTCCTAGTTAAGCAGACACAAGAGATGATATTTCCAGCTGATAATAATTGGTGTTTGTTGTTGACTAGATATCTACATCACCTCTTTCTTCTCTGTGTTCAACTGAATTCCTGTCTTCTCTAACTTTTCTGTAAATTCGTTGATTTCCACTTGTAAAACTTCGAGTTTGTGAGAGATGAGACAAAAAGCATCCGCTAAATGCAGATCTACTAGGATATTTTTGCCAGTCCAACGCAAGCAAGTTTTCTTAACCCACCCTTAGGTTCTGTTAAAATGATCCCGTTCACCCCTTTCAGCGAAAATACTGGTCATGGCAAGCAACCTTGTCTTACTTCTGTCTTCGTTACAAACGCCTCGCCGAGTTTTCCCTTGTAAATTTCTTAGCATGTAGAATAACTGTTGAATGAGGTTCCTGAGTGTTTAGGTACTGCAATCCAGTGTTAAACCAGCTGCCGAATTACTTCGTGGTCGACACTATCAAATGCTTTTTCAAAGTCAATGGTGTTGAGATAAAGAGTTCAGTGTCGTGCTACGTTCTCTTCGACGATGATACGTAGTGTTGCAGTTTGATCACTGCTTGACTTCTTTTCTGAAACCAGCTTGTTCTGGGTGCAGCGTTATGTACACACGATTTTTAAGTCTTTCTAGGGTGATGCAGTTCAATGTTTTGCTTGAGACGGAAATGACGATGATTCCGCGACTGTTGTGGCATAGACGTAAGTGACTTTTCTGTAACAGTAAAAAGACAGACATCCTTCCAATAATCAGAAACGTTCCCTTACAATCACACCTTCCACTGCTGTCACTAGGTTATTCAGGATCTTTCACTGGCCTCGCCCGCGTTCATTCCTTCCAGAATATTGATGTTTATTTGATCATTTTACCTTCAGTTTGTGATCAGTTGCCAGAACATTCTGAAAACATTTCTGTCCTTCCTAGCACTCTTCTCCATTGCATTCTGGAATATACTCAGCTTTTCATTTCGTCGTTCATCTATAAGCTAATTCATTTTCTGATTCACTACGCTTTTGTCTTTTATCGATTTTCAGATTTCTGCACAATGCTATTCCTTCTCCTGGCTCTCCTGCTTACCTAACATGTTGTCTAAACAGGTTCCTTTGAACACAGATTTCACACAGTTCCAGTTTTCATCCACACAAGTTACTTGATTCGTTCTCGTGCGGACCACTCACTGGTCACAAAACATTCACCACTCACACACGTTGGAAAAATTAACCACCAAAACCGTACAGAGTACGACCCTGGCGTTTCAATGCATACACAACATCCATAGCTGTCACGGTCTTCCTCTTCGCATGCTCTGTGTACGTCACAGCGTCGCGGATCACATTCTCCAAGAACACCACCTCGAGGTGTTCCCTAGTGTCACACACTTTTACCGGACGACTGAGGTAAAGGTGTCCTTTATAGCTTCACACTGCAGTTTTGGAGTGTTGAACTTGAATTGCGGTCTACCTCAAACATCTTTGAAGGTCGTTAGCTTGTTGGTGAAAGTTTCCTGCACTAGATGATGGTCTGAATCTACATTCACTCTTTCTCTCGATCTTTGGTAGTGAATCCCCTCTCTTTTTCTGCTCTTTGGTGTTTGTAGGTGTGTTGCACTGCGTAATTGTGACTTTCTTTCACTTTCACAGTTGAAACTTACCCTCAAAATATTAAAGGAGACTGGTTTACAATTCATTTGACTTTTTCATGTTGTTTGACAAACATCATCGTACCTAGTCCAAACGCACACATAGTTGTCATTTGGCTGGCACGAATAGATTACTGACCCTCCTACGAGTACAAATTCGGACACTCAACTTCTATTCCGTTATCTCTCATATATTCCTAGCACTTGTATGCTCTATCTTCTCACCTTTCCTGCAATCTGAGCAGCCTTATCAGCCAACTTCAAAAGTGACACTCCATGCTCTCCTGCTCAGGTTGGCTATCATCAAGAGGAAACTTGTTGACTTACTGCCTTTCAAGACACTTCCAAATACCACCATTATTCGTCTGCAAAGTAGAAGTCTTCCGATTGCAGCGATAAGTAAGTTTTTTCTGTGTTTTGAAGTCTAAATAATGATGATAGTATTTTTACAGGGTAAGTTTGCTATCTCTACGATTAGCCTAAACTCCTTCCAGGGTAAGGGACAAACTAGTTTACTAGACGGAGTTTCCTTGTCCCTAAGCGGCTACTTTTCACATCTATAGAAAAGAACAGAGCAGACTGCCGCAGTGCAATCAGATATCTAACTGGCGTTGACCGATAACTAGCAGTTATAAAGTCAAACAGTTTTCATATTAGGTCTTACCGGCTCTAACTACGCTGGTGTGAGATTTTCACGTTTTGTATTTAGGCTGACTTTCTAACCAGTAAGCGTTACTAGGAAGAACAAATGATAGGCTAAAGATGCTGATAATATAAACTAAATAAGTGGAATGTTAAAGTAATAATCATGGTCATTTCGCCTACTGTACTAGAGACGTGAAACAAACTGCTTACAGTTTGATCAACAAACAATGAATAGTTTCTATGTGTTTGTCTGCGTCCAGCGATTTTCTCAGTGAATTCCACTCAAGATAGCATTGTATTATGAGATAAATTTTCTGTAGGGCGATCCGCCCCCCCCCCCAAATAATCTTTGTTTCAATCTCATTCACTGCAACAGCTCGACGTAAAAGGAAGACATATTAATTCATAATATTAGATAGTTGGAGGTAATCAGCAGGAAGCCTTGGACCTAGGTTTCATGCCAAATGGCACTCGTCAGCAAGGCGTATCTACAACCTTGAAGGAACTCATTTCCCTTCTGGGATTCGAACCCGCGCCACTCAGTGCTGCAGTCAGAGATGTTGCCGCTGAGTTGTTCCATCTCGAGACTGACGATGGCGAGCTACCTGGAATGGTGGCCACATTGCAAAGCTGACTGACTGAATTCAGTCCGCACCGAAGAAAGGACTAGACACATCGCAGTAGTCACTAGTGTCCAATCAAGGTATATCAATTCACAAATTTGTAATAGCGCACACATACAAGTTATGGAGAAAAGACAAGACAAAAAATGTCAGAGTTATATATTTCATTCAATATACATGTGGTATAGAGAGTATCAAGTTAATTATTTATCAATTTATCAAGTAATGAACAAAAGAAAAAGGCATTTAAAAAAAAGAAAACTTAAATATCAGTTTATTCTTAACACAGTTACAATAGGCGGAAATCAGAACAACAACAACAAAAACTTCTATCAGCGTCCATTATTAGATGTTGCAATAAACAACTGTCGAATTCTTACTTCAAATTCCTCTACAGACAATTTGATATATTTTTCACGATGTGAAGTGAACGAAACAGCCATAGATCTCTCCCAGAATGCATGATACATAGGGACTAGATCACGTACTAACTGATGCTCTAGGCTATTACGCAATTCTCTATCAGGAATTGAAATCAGATTGTGCTGTTTGGTCAAGCTATTCAATCCATTGTTAAGATCCTAGAGAAGAAAAACATCGAGTAAATAATTCAAAAGAAACAGTTGACTTCAAATATATGTAAAACTTAATCGTGACTAGGAGCCGACAAAATTGAATGTTTTCTTTGTATTGAAGAATTGCCAGAGCTGTGTTGCGCACTAATACAGAAGACATATTGCTAATCATAACAGAAGTCAAGGTTAGCGGCAGTTGCATTAGATGTTTACTCATCCAGTTGAGGAGAAATTTGTCTAATTTGATTAAAAATGACACAGTGGAACAGCCGTCCTATTTATCATGTGATGAAATCAACTTAAGAGGCTATATAACAAAGGTATGTTAAGTAGATTGGCAGTATAGACCCGGATTCAAGAAAATTGCTCCTAAATTATGCAATATTCTTTAGATTAATTAAATATGACAAAACACAAATTGTATGTCAGCTATAACCAAGAGAAAATAAACAAATAGCCTTAGACATGGTTTCCGTGTTTATTGGTAAGTGTCAGATATGCATATCTGTAAATTTGAGGAATCGTCCAGTGATCAGTTTGCGTACAACATGAAGTATTGACTGACTGACTAGTTTCAACAGATGTGCAGCAATTAGAGTTGCCACAATCAATGTAGCACACAAACTAAGAGAAGACAGTAAGGACAGATTCAATAGAGAGTTAATAAACAAAAATATGAGGCGAAAGAATAGTATCATGGAGGAACTGTATAGTTTTATTAGGTATTATGAGTCACAAGTAGTGAATGCATCCGCGCTGTCACTGAGACCGATTTCGAGCCATATCACCAATCGTCTCCAGCCCTCATTAGTTTTTACCACCTCGAGAACAAAATCCGGGAAGTCTACAACTTCCTAACATTGCACGTCGAAGAGGGCGATCGATGGCTAGGCACGCGTAACACATGTCCTGACCATCTCAGTCGATGTAGCTTCACAGTATCACCGGTTGATTTCCCCTCCTTACCTAGAACTCGACGCCTAACCTCAATATTGCTCACCTTATTATACCACTTCACACGGAAGACAGAACGTAAGCACCTATGATCAAAGATAGCTAGCCTTTTCATGTCTTCCACTCTCAATGGACAGGTGTCACTGCCATAAAGGAGGACGGGGCGGACTGATGAGCAGTACACACATCCTTTGGTCGACAGTCGGATATCACGTTGACGCATGTTAACAAATGTCTTTAGTATCCACGCTGAGATTTCGTCAGCGATAAACACGTTGAGGCTGATTCAAGTACCCGAATAAGTAAAGTGGTCAACACGCTCTACCACTTCAAACCCTATTTCAAAGCTGGGAGTCAAAGTAGTCCAGTCCTGTTATTTGGCGGGAGCGAATCATATGCCAAACATTCGCAGATTGCAGCTCAAGGTGTTCAGAAGACTCTGCATTTTGTCAGCGTCCTCACCGAGAAGGACTATATCATCCGGATATTCTAAGTCAACGAGATTATTCCCTGGCAACAAGCCAATCCTTGAGTGCGTGAAATACTATGGTTTATAACACTACTAGTCCGACTTTTCCTGCAATTTTCAGCACTTCTTTTCATGCTGTAATACATAATCGAGATTACGGTTCACATACTCAGATTGTGATATATTATGAAGAAAACAAAACATTAAATGCTTACAAACTTTTAATTGTAAACAAAATAACTTACCTGCCATAGCGTTTTTAATGAAGACTTTTCTTTGTTGTCTATCTATTAAAATTGAAAGGCAACAGAAAGAATTTTACCATCGACAATAAACAAAAGTATCAAGAAAGCATACAGAATAAAAAGTAACACCCAACAAGACGATGTATTAAAGATACAGATATGTAAAAATAACAAAAACAACTACACGCATGAGTCCATAGACAACTACTAAAATATACAAACAAGCATGCATATTAAGAATTAAGAAACATTTATACACATTATAGAGAATTTATAAAGACTCACGGGACGATTTACCATACCAGAAAGACGATTTAAAAGATTACCATCTAGAAGTGAGAGCATGCGTGCACACCTGGGAAGGATCGGTTCAATTATGCAAAGAAAAGAAGAAGAAGAGGAAGAAAACAGATCATGGGAGACCAGTTGTATCTACTAAAAGATGTTCAGGAAACATATCAAAAAGCATGCTTCTTCACATTGAAATGACTGTCAAGTATTTATAAAGGATCATTCTACATAGATTGCGAAAACAATGGTGAAATGGATCAGGTTACACATTATACACATCACTACACTAGTTATTATGTTAGTTTGATACAGTGGATCCTTATCTTAGAAAAGGCTAACTACATGGATCCAAATAAAAGGTTAGAACATATACGTAAATAAGAGAAAATTTACTATTATTATAAATCATGCATACCTAATGATTGACAACTGAAAATATATAAATATTACACAAATTCAACAGGGAGCGAATGGATTTCTTTTATCGAACGTGCAGTTGAGGTGAGAACAAATAGCATGCACACTGATGACAAGCAACGAATCAAAATATTTTTTATCGAAATTCAAATGATGCATCGATGACTTTACACGTAAACTATACACTAAACAAAGAAAGTGACACCTTAGTTAACTGTTGTTCATCCAGAATCTCCTTGGACTGTTCACTGTTACCAGATGGTAAGTGTTTGTGATGACTGGCATTGAGATTAGGTGATAAAACGGATACCAGAGCAGATCCAAACTGAGAGGCTCTACGACGACGCATACTATTTGTTCCACAGTTTTCAGGAAATGGTTGTAAGTGCAATACACTGGCACAACTAATACATACACGTAAAAAATAGTTAAGCTCAGCTAACTTGTAATTGAACAGAACAGAAATTGAATGCATTGCGAATAATAGAAAATTATGTGAAAAGTGTGGAACATGAAATAACATGTGTGAAAGCACAGCTAATGAGATCACAGTCACAGTTTAAATGCTTATTATATAAAAAATAAAGAAATCCTACTTTCCTTTATATCGAACTAGGTTAAACACAAGATACCGGGGAAAAGCAGAAGCACGTTGCAACAACCTCTTAGATAAACAGTGAGATTTCACACACACACGTACACACGTACAACATCCACTAGTCTGTGCAATACACTCACACGCTATTAAAATAACCACTTAAACTCAAACGCCTATGGCTAATATTTCATTATGTAAATGTAAAGCCTGATGAGAATTTACCGAAAATACGTATTTGCTAAAATTGTATACTATAACTACAAAAATTGGATAAATTGTACAGCGGCCGATTTTTTCTCACGTCAGCTCTACAAATTATAGTCATCCAGGTTACAAAAACAAGGTTGACGATAATTTATCAGAAGTTATTTCAAGACGTAATTATTAACTGGGTAGCAAGGAAGCTTTTTGTTGTTGTTGTTGTTATTGGAAATGCAATAAGTGAGTACCAAATCTAACACGAGAAATCAGGAGGCATTAAGTAAGATAGCAGCCATAAGAAAGAATATGAATCAATTCATACGAGTTTAGTAACTGTGATTCGTCCTTACACTAGCGTAAGTGTTCTTCCTACTAACAGAATGTCATACTGTACATGTGTGGTCTTGATTACTCGTGTGAATCTGTCTATTCTAGAAAAATATTAAGCTCAGAATTCAGCAAATGAATTTTCAGGTTTTTATCGACCGTAATAAACCTAACATATATGTAATTTAGTGAATTGCTTATATTCAAATTTAACGCGAACAATCAAAGGAAAACTCAGAAAGGCGTTCGAAATGAATACAGACGCAAGAGAAGCTGGCTGCTAATTATCACTGATGACATTCTTAATTGTGGTTGAACTGGACTATGCATCAGACTGTGATTGGGGAGTGAGAAGACAGGAATACGTTGGATCGATAAGAAGACCTTAGAAGATCTGGATTTTGCAGATGATATATGTTTAATGCCATACAAACTCGAAGACTCACAGGCGAAGACCAACAAACGGACTGAAGATGCTGGAGGCGGAGACAGAACACCAGGTGGACACAGAGAAGACGAAGGTAACGAAGATAATCAACGAACCACAGTAACAACAACAACAACCAGCACCAATCACCGTCAACAGGAGAGATTTAACAGAGGTTACTTCCTTCACTTATCTATGAAGCATCATTTCAACTATAGGCAGTTGGAACGGATGAATGTGTCAAAGAAAGCCAGAATCAGAAAGTCAAGATACACCTTCATCAGTCTGAAACCAGTTTGGAAATCTTCCGCACTCCTCCTTAGCATAAAGAACCAGATTCGGATTTTCACCACAAATGTCAAGTTGGTCGTTGTATATGGGTCAGAAACTTGGCTAGTGTGTAATGAAAAGGAAATCCAACAGGTTGTAGAATTTCATCAACAACTGCCTTCTATGGCTCCATAATGAAGATCAAATGACTTATCAGAAAGAATTAGTAACAAGAAACTTTGGCAACAAAGCAAAGAAGAGCTGATCGCCCAACAAATATTTAGGAGAAAATGGAGATGGATCGAGCATACGTTGAGTAAACCGTCGAATGACATCAAGCACCAGGCCCTCAAGTGGAATCCCAGTGGGAAGCGACGGGTGAGTCTTCCTAGGATGACATGGAGGAGATCGTTTGAGGAGGAGATGAGAGATCATCGTCAAGCGTGAACCCGTCTGAAGATGACAGCAGAAAATAGATGGAAGTGGAGATGTGTTGTTTAAGCCCTATGTTCCATGAGGAACCCAAAAGAATAATAATAAAAACAGACTGGAATAAAAGTTGAATACATAAGATGAAACATCATTGAAATGCTAAGACAAAATAGGTGATTACAGCAGATAGTATGATTTACCATACATCACGATTCAGTTGAATCTGTGACTTCCCTTTATTATTGAAAGTCATACCATTCTATATTTATTTGTCTATTCCCAACTTCTGTTCTGTCTTTTATACAAATTGTTAGTGTTTTAACTTGCTGGTCTACTTGGTGCAGTGCTGTGAAATGTAGCAACTGGTAGAAAGGTATTTTAAATTTTCAATTGATTCTTTATGATATATTTTAGAGGTTAAACAAAGTCAGAATTTTGAAAGAATAAAGAAACAGAAATTATTGTGTGATGCAATTGATTTTTATAATAAAAAAAGGTCAAGTGAACAAAAGCTGTAATATGATAAACTTTATTGATTTGGAAAGCTATGCTCTCTAGCGAATATTAACATAGACCTTTTTTCCACTCACACGCACAACTGCATACAAAGTTACGTTTCCCACTTTACATCATTCTATAAGAATAGAACTTGTGCACTGTGGTAGTGTATAATTATATGATGGTTAAAATTTACTTTGACAAAGTCTCACAGTGTTATACGGTAATATTTACTGATGACGTTTCGAGTACAATTTATTGCTCATAATCATATCAAGATACTCATACAATTTTATAACTTCTTTTATATAATTCCATTATTTTCCATCTCTTGATTTGATTAGTTGTAGTATTTTCGATATTTCTGTTATGAGTGATGAGTCATTCCTATTGCATGTATTGGGTGTAGACTCTATGATCAAGGTTGATTATTGAATCCTTGTTCATCACCCAGTACATGCAATAGGAATGACTCAACACTCATAACAGAAATATGAAAAATACTACAACCAATCAAATCAAGAGATGGAAAATAATCGAATTATATATATATATATATGCAAAAGTATTTCTATTCAGTGACTAACCAATAAATGAACTCATACACTAGATCTGAATCAAACAGTGTGTGATTTGTATCTTTAATGGATTAGTGACATAGATTCACTATCGATCGGTTATAATTCATTAGGTTGGATTCTAACGTGCTGGTCATGTGATTTGACTATTCTAAGCGCAACTATATAATATAACCTATCAAAGTGAACTTGTGGGGAATATCACACATGGGCCAAATAACTCTTGATATTCAGAATATTTGAAACTAACGTTGACTTCAATTAAAAGGTGTTTTTATTGATTCAATATCAATCAACTTCAAAAATATGTCTCTGATTGGCTTTTTACTGTAATAATAATAATAATAATTTTTCCTTCACATTCCCAGTGGAACATAGGGCTTCAAGCTAGTGGCTTGAAGTTTCTGTAGCACTACTTAACTTTACAGGATGGGTTTGCTAGTCTCATGCCCAACCTTTCCTCTTTACCAGCACTATTTCTGGTTTAGCAAGGTAAAGGGGCTCGAACCCCGGACCGTGTGCATGGTCAGCGAGCGTCCTAACCACTATACCGCTGACGCTTTTTACTATGGTAAATAAATATCTTTGAAAGTAACCTTCAGAAGAATGCAGAAGATACTTTGCAGGGGTTTAGTCCACCATCTTAAAATAAATTCTTTAAAAAGGTTTTAATAAAACAAACTAAAACACTGAATACCATACACAAACACTTGATTTTTATTAATTGGAATCAGAGAAAGTTGATGTACAAGTATAATAGTGTCAATGAATAGAAAATACACCCCCTCACCCCCCCCCCAAAAAAATTGGGTGTACACAATAAACATACCATCGTGAATAAAAGGCTTTACGTTCATCCAAAACACAAGTGAATTTGGCGATAGCTTCTCGATCTTGAGATAAAAGATAACGGTGAATATTTGTCCTGAAAATTTAAAATATGTAACATCAAAACAAAGTCAGATTCCATTGAAGGTGGAGATTAACTAACACATTCGTATATATATATATATATATACGACCTCCTCCAAGTCACCCACACACTGACCACCAACTCGCCGCTTCCCTTTCGGGTTCCACTCGAGCGAAGGCTTGTCTAGTGATGTCACTTGATGGTTTCCTCAGAGTATGACTAATCCATTTCCATTTCTTCACGCTTATTTGTTGCAAATCGGTTTCTGCTGTGTCAGTTTGCTCCCAGAGATCCCTGTTGCTGATCTGTTCTGGCCATTTGATTTTTAGTAATAATAATAATAATAATAATAATAATCACTTTATTCCACAACAGTAACGAGTGAAGACAGCTGTTAATGAAGGTCTGTAGTTTGTTTGAGATGCTCTTTATGACGCGCAGTGCAAGTCTCTGATCCGTATAGTAGCACTGACTTCACATTGGAGTTGAAAATCCGGATCTTATTTTTGATTCTGAGTGATGATGACCTCCACAGAGACTTGAGAGTAATGAAAGCTTATCTTGCTCTCCCGATCCTCGCTTTGATATCCTCGTCAGTTCCGCCCTTCTGTAGTCGAAACGATGCTTCCCAGGTATGTGGGTGAAGGAAGTTGTTTCTTTCAAGTTCCTCCCATTTATGCTGGCTGATTGTTGTCTGTTGTTGTTGCTGTTGGCCAGGAATCTTCATCACTTCTGTTTTATCTATATTCACCTGGAGTCCTATCTTTGATGCTTCTTTTGCCAACTTGTTGCTTTTCACTTCCATATCTTCCAGTTTGTGGGAAATCAGACATATATCATCGGCGAAGTTCAGATCCTCCAAGTTTTTTGTGTGGGTCCACTTTATACCTGTTTCCTCATTGCCCGCTATCTGTCGCATTATCCAATCTACTGCAATCAGGAAGATCATTGGCGATAGTAGACAGCCTTGCCTTACTCCCGTCTCTACTTCTTCGAAGGATTCCGTAAGTTTCCCGTTGTGGATTACTTGGCATGCAGCATTGTCGTATAACTGTTGGATGAGATGTATAATTGTCGATGGTACGCCGTAGCAGCGAAGTAGTTGCCAAATCACCTCTCGGTCGACACTGTCGAAGGCCTTTTCAAAGTCATCTCAAATATATATATATATATATATTGAAATGGTTATGTGCTGCTGAAACCCTAGGTTCGATTCGAAACCAAGAGAATAATAGTAATGATAATAATTTTCGATGAATAACTTCGCATTTACAATGCAATTTTCGTCATTACCAACTGATACTCCATTCTGGGAAGTTACTACTGAACTATTGATACAGATCTCACAAAGGACATTACTCCCTTCGAGGTGGCGGAATGAGCAGGAAATCTAGCTGTCAAGCTTTCTAACAAATACCGCGGTGAAGAAGCTCGAAGCTTGACGAAGACATTGCCAAACTGACCGATATAACTAAGCCAGAACTTAAGATTAGAAAATATAACACCAGTTACTATCCAGTGATCAACCATCATCATAGTAGGCAGTGCAGTAATTTACACCACATCCATCGCTAAATTTTTCACTTTAAACAAATGGTTACGAAATCAATAAGAATATAGACGTAACATTGCTTTACATACTTGTAAATACTTTTCAATATGTATTGGATATTGTTCATTTGGAAGATCATTCGACGTATCTCTTCGGAATACACTTCTGATTTACGCTCCAAATTTGTCATTAGAGCAAATAAAGCACCGACTGTAGTATAGCATAACAATAAAAATTTTAGAAAATGAACTGTGAAATTAATGTTTTGCATTTCATTTTTATTTAACAAACACGTCAATTATTGTTGTTGTTAAACAATTGCTTGAACACAAATTAATCAACTACTATGCCCTAATCCCATATTGCTAGCTTGAAACAATGATGAAAGACTGTTGGGCGCGTTCAGCTTACCCAGTAGGATTATTTATACATGGCTATAATGATAAAGATAAGTCTCTCAAGTATCCTATCCTCAGTAGACAATTGATGTCCAAAGAATCATGAACAACTTTGGCTGGAATAAGTGTGGGAATGCAAACACTACTTGGCTCCCAAATCAATTTCCTGTACGTTCTGCAGTTGGTGAAATATGACGACAGTGAAAATAATAATTTAATGAGTATTAATTATTACAATGACTGCCTGATTCTATTATGATAAGAACATCCTAAATGTTTCTTATCATTTGTGAAAACGACCAAATGTCTTGTGTCCGAGCTGTGATTTTATGGTGCTTCAGCAGTTTAACTTCTTTTTAAACCTGCAAAGAGTTAGGTAAACTGGCCACCAAGATCTATGTGTTAAAGAAGGTTGCACTTCATATGCCAGCTAAACTGATTTGCAATGAAAATAATCTGTATACTATCCAACTCAAAAATCATCCCATCACAATTTCTACTGCTGTCGACAAGAATCATCTGAAATTGCTTCTAAATATACGGTATGGACTCCAATTGTATGTTTTCCCAATCAAACACCGTAATCCTGTTGAAGGTGTACAATATTACGAGTGAAAACTTTGTTATTCATTAGGATAAACCGACAAGTATCAACCAACTGACAAGAAACTCTTGTTCACCAATTAGATGTTCATCTAAACTTCAAGCGAGGTAAACCCACAATTTCACCCACACCACTGGCTTATAAATGTAGACATTTACACAAAAGGCATCAGTTCAAATTATCAAATTTCATAAAAGCAATAGACCTAATAGCTTAGTGGATAACAAAGTAAGAAAAGTGATTAGTTTATCTATATCAGATTTAGTCCCAAAGATTTTGAATCAGCAGGCATACACTAATCAACCCTAACCTCTAATGGTATCAGAATGAAGTTCACTCAAAAACACCCCCAGATTAACCCACAAACATCTAGAACAAACCTCCAATACAAATTTTTTTAAACCAAGGAGTCAGTAGTAAAATGTAAGAAGAAAAAAAATGGGCTGCAAAAGCATCAGAAATTGGGAAATGCACAGAACATTTTCTGAATGATGTCATTTGGACTACACTGAAAACACAGGAAATACTTTAGGACTACAAAACTAACAGATACAGAAGGGCTTGAAATACAGGCGTTGATTATCATCTATCCATGTTTTATTTATTTATTTATTGCTCCCTTGGGTTCCTAGTGGAACATAGGGCTTCAACTGCACGTCTCCATTTTCTTCTGTCTTCTGCTATACTTTTCGCCTGCATCCATGTTAATCCATATTCTTTCAACTCCTCTTCACACGATCTCCTCCATGTCACCCTTGGACGTCCCACACGCCGCTTCCCTTTCGGGTTCCACTCGAGGGCTTGGCGCGCGATGTCACCCAGCGGTCTCCTCAGCGAGTGTCCGATCCATCTCCACTTTCTCCTGCATATTTGTTGGGCGATTGGTTCTTGCTTTGTTTGTTCCCATAATTCCTTGTTGGTGATTCTTTCCGGCCATCTGATCTTCAGTATTGAGCGAAGACAGTTGTTAATAAAGGTCTGCAACAGCTGTTGGAAATATTCTTTGTGACCCGCCAAGTTTCTGATCCGTATAGAAGAACTGACTGACTTGACGTTTGTATTGAAAATCCGAATTTTGTTGTTGATGCTGAGTGACGAAGATTTCCAGATTGATTTCAGGTTGATGAATGTGTTTCTCGCCTTCCCGATTCTCGCTCGATTTGACATCCTCGTCCGCTCCTCCTGTAGTTGAGACAATGCTCCCTAGATAAGTGAATGAAGTAACCTCTTTCAAATCCCTCCCGTTGATGGTGATTGACGTTGGATGTTGTTGCTGTTGTTGGTTGGTTATTTTCATAACCTCCGTCTTGTCTATGTTTACCTGGAGTCCTGTCTTTGCTGCTTCTTCGACCAGTTTGTCGGTTTTCGCTTGTAAGTCTTCGATTTTGTGTGACATCAAACATAAATCATCCACGCGCGAAATCCAGGTCTTCTAGGTTCTTCACGTCGGTCCAGGATATTCCTGTCTTCTCGTTTCCCACAGTCTGACGCATAATCCAGTCCACCACAATTAGGAATATCATTGGTGATAGTAAGCACCCTTGTCTGACTCCTGTGTTTACTCCAAACGCCTCGCTGAGTCTTCCGTTGTGGATCACTTGGCAGGTGCCGTTGTCGTACAGCTGTTGAATAAGGTTGATGAATATTTGGGGTACGCCATAGTACTCGAGTAATTTCCAAATTACTTCACGATCAACGCTGTCGAAGGCCTTCTCAAAGTCTATAAAGTTGAGGTAGAGGTTTGATTGCCATTCCATGCTTTGTTCGATGATGATGCGTAGAGTTGCAATTTGGTCAGTACATGATTTGCCTTTCCTGAATCCAGCTTGTTCTGGTCGGAGTTCTGTCTCCAGTGCGTCCTTTAATCTCTCCAGGATGATGCGACTCAGGATTTTACTTGGCGTCGATAGGAGCATGATTCCTCGCCAGTTCTTGCAGAGTCCTAAGTCGCCCTTCTTTGGTAGTTTCACGAGGTAACCTTTCCTCCAGTCAGTAGGCACCTTTCCCTCCTTCCAGACCTTTTGCAATAATGGAGTCAGCATGTCTGCTGTCGTCTCTGGGTCTGCTTTCAGTGCTTCAGGGGGTATTCCATCTGGTCCGGCTGTTTTTCCAGCTTTCAGAAGTTTGATTGCGTTCAAGACTTCAGCTCTCGTTGGAGGATTGGTGTCAACTTGCAGTTGTGTGCGCGCTGTTGTTGGTATTTCTGGACGGGTTGCAGGTGATGGTCGGTTCAAGAGTCCTTTGAAGTGATCCGCCCATTGTTTAATCTGTTTTTCTTCCTTGGTAATTGGGTTCCCTTGGCTGTCTTTTATAGGTTTCGCTTGTGTTGGTCTCTTCCCGGATAGAGATTTGGTTATCTGATATAGTGTCCTCAGGTCCCTTTTGCCTGCTGCCTTTTCAGCTTCAGTAGCTAGATTGTCGTAGAATCGTCTTTTGTCCTTCCTAGCACTCTTCTTCACTTCTTTGTCCAGTGCTTTGTAAGTTGAGCTCATCGTCTCCTTCTCCTGTCCGTCCTTGCATTGAATCATTTTCTCTTTCACCATTCTCCTCTCTTCTATTAATTTCCAAGTGTCCGTTGAGAGCCATTCCTTGTCTTGTCTCTTCTTTCTTCCTAGAACCGTTGAACACGTTTCGTTGAGAATCGCCTTCAGAGACTTCCAATGTTCTTCCACGCATGATTCTTCAGTGATGTCGCGTAGTGTTTCCTGCTTTGCTCTGACAGTTGCAGTGAAGGTGTCTTTTGTGGTTGTGTCCTTCAGTAATTGAGTGTTGAACTTGCATTGTGGCCTATCCCCAGCTATCCTCGAGGCTTTTAGTTTCACCTTGAAAGTCCCTTCTACTAGATAGTGGTCTGAACCCACATCTGCTCCTCTCCTTGACCTTGTGTCCAGTAGGCTCCGTCTCCACTTTCTTGAAATTGAGATGAAGTCTATTTGGTTCTTGGTGTTTCCATCTGGTGAAATCCATGTCGTCTTGTGTATATCCTTGTGTTTGAACACACTACCACCAATCACCAAATCATTGAAGGCGCAGAAGTCTGAGAAGAGTTCACCATTGTCGTTCATTTCACCGAGGGCCTCACGACCCATGGTGAGTTCTCTTCCTGTGTTGTCTCCTCCCAGCTTCGCATTCATGTCGCCCATCAGGATTTTGATATCGCCATTTGGGACGTTGTCCATTATTGCTTGTAGTTGTCTGTAGAACGCCTCCTTCTTCTCTTGTTCTGAGACGTTTGTAGGCGCATAGCATTGAATGACTGTAACTTTCCTTCCTTTTGAGTTGAACCTGGCTGTCATTATCCTGGAGGAGATTGGTTCCCACTGCATGAGAGCTTTGGTTGCTGTTGGTGACATCATGATGGCCACTCCCTCGGTGTGCTCGTGGTTGTCCTCTGGGTGGCCGGAATAGATTACTGTCTCTCCAGTAGGTAGTTGGCACCTTCCAGTTCCGTTCCATCTGCTCTCGCAGATTCCCAACACTTCTATTCTGTACCTTCTCATTTCAGCGGCTATCTGGGCAGCCTTTCCAGTTTCGTACATTGTACGAACATTCCAGGTACCCATCCTTACTTTTGCTTTCATCGAAAGAAGGCACATCGGCTGACTGGCTTCCCGAAGGCTTTCACCAGCCTGCGTCATTTCACTTCCCCGATTCCAGCGAAAAGTAAGGCTATTGCTTATGTTTTTAGAATTTTTAATATATTTATTCGTTGAAGTTTCTGTAGCGATTTGGTTGTTTTACAGGGGTGGAGTTGCTAGCACCACGCCCCAACCCTCCCTCTTTACCCGGGCTTGGGACCGGCGAGAAAACTAGTAAGCTAGTAGCCTAGCAAGCTAGTATCTGGCGTGGTTCGCAAGATACAATTATAGGACAAAACATTCAAGAAGACGCATGTATGACAGTTGGAATAGAGTGACTGAATTACGACGACGTGATTCATTATGATCCATACACAGTAGACAGAATGTGAACAGGTATAATGAATACAGCCTTAACAATTACCTAAAACAAAAAAAATATTTTAAAAATACCACACATATAATACAGTAGACGACTCTTACTTACATAAATAATTTCCAAAACGATGTTCAAGGTAAGATAAATTGCGACCAGTATTGCCAAGATACTTAAGGGTGTTGTTTGTAGCCTGTGGACCAGCTTCAGTGAATGACAAAGCAGTTCCAATAATATCTGCGAATTCTAACAAATTTTCTAAATACATTAATGCCTAATAAAAGAACGTGGGATAGAGAAGAGTGAGTAGGAAATGATTATGTTTCTTAAAGGACTCAAAAAAAAAAGATTTAATAGAAAATGTACCCTCACACGATTGATACTAACTGACTTATCTACATGATACAAGTCTCTGTCTGTTTTCGACATAGAACTTTGCACCAATGTGCGACAGTTCAAGTCGCCACACTCCCTCCTTGTAGCACACAAAGCAAGAGAAGAAAGTAGAAGAAATGCATAATATATATAGTAAACAGAGGTGTGAGACAAAGGAATAGTAATAACGAAGAACAATATAGTTTAATTGGAAATCATAAGTCACAAGGAGTGGATGCATCTGCGCTATGCATTGAGAACGATTTTGAGCCATAACACCAATTGTTTCCAGCCATTGGTTTCTACCGTCCAGATAACCCCAACTAGGAAGTCTATACCTTCCTACATGGCTGGGTTAGACTAACTGTTGTGGATTTCATTGACTGGTGCCATGTTTTGGTTTGACCGCCGCTAGCTCTTTTCCAGCCTGACTCTATGTCAGCTAACATTTTCTGTCGAGGAAGGCGATGACCAGGCATACGTAACACATGTCCTAACCATCTCAGTCAATGTAACTTCACAGCCTCGTCGATTGATTTCCCCTGTTTAACGCCTAACCTCAATATTGCTCACCTTATTATACCAGTTAACACGGGAAATAGAACGCAGACACCCATGGTCAAAGATAGCTGGCCTTTTCATGTCCTCTACTCTTAATGGCAAGGTCTCACAGCCATAATAGAGGACGGAGCGGACTGATGAGCAGTACATCCGCCCTTCGGTCGATAGCCGGATATCACGTCTACGCCAGAGACGGCGTAAACTGGCATATGCGAAACTAGCCCTCTGTATCTGTGCTGACATTTCTTCAGAGATCAACCCGTTGGCACTGGCTGATGGTACTTCCCAAATAAGTGAAGTGGTCAACGTGCTCTACAATTCACTTCCTATTTCTAAACTAGGAGTCAGTGTAGTCCAGTCCTGTAGCATCATCTTACATTTAGCGGGAACGAATCGCATGCCAAACAGTCGTAGATATGCAGCTCAAGGTGTTCAGGTGACTTGTACATGATACAAATCTAATATGAATTAGTCGTTGCACGAAATGTATAGCAGTAGCCGGTTTAAATTTATCATTGAATTCTTGAATCAAGGCGTCTTACTGACCGACTTTGGGCATAAAACTTAGAAAAAGTGAATGAGCAAAGAAACGCATATTTTTGGTAGGTACAACTGTGTGAATGACAGCACAACTAATCAACAGCCACATCTGATGTATGTGATAGTAAAACTCTAACTCAAAACTATACAGTTGAATGTCTGTAGTCTAGAAAATGAAAAGAACTCATCTCTATATAAACAAATAAATTACTGAGATAACTATACCAAAACCACTACACCCAAGGACTCAACTAGGTTCAAAGTTGGCCCTTTTATTTATATTAATACCTAGATTACTGTTGTTTTAGGCGGTTAAGTTTAAAACTCCCTAGTGTAATGATTTTGCCGAAAATACATGTGACTCAGTAATTATTACAAATATTTGAACAAAAAACTTAAAAAAAAGTGCACAAAATTACAAAATGTACTCACATTAGTTGTCAGCTCATGTATTGTGGCATCTGCAGGTACAATAGTACTACTTGAACTAGACTTTTCACTGACTTGTTGTAAAAATTGGACATAAGTCTCCAGTGTTGTCTTACTTTGACTTAACAATCGTAAAACTAATTGGTTGAAGTCAACCAATACACTATCAATGCCCTAGAAAATTTAAATAAATTAGGACGAATCAGAGGAATTCAAAAGAAAAAAAAATATGATAAAACAAAGTTTGACAATGAAGTTTTGAAGTATACACATGAGTTTTTTTTCGAAACGGATAACAGGTGTTACGATTAGTAAAGTATCAGGCTATGTAGCATGAGAATCATTACTGATTTAGTTAATTTCTATTTACAACCATATCTAGTGACTTTTCTAAATTGCTGGCATCTACAGATCACTCCTTAATGCACGATAGACTTACACTTAGACTCGTTCACATGAAGTTCATTATCTAATTGAATATATTACATGAATACAATTACATATATGGTCATTATTTATAGTGTAACAACAGAAGACAAGGACCAGGAAACAGGTCGTTTATTAAGGGAATCAACACATATTTATAGATTTTCATGTACATTATTATAGATTATTGTTAGCAGAAAAACACAGTCTTCTGATTGGTGGTTGTTTCTCACAGAAAGTTAACCTTGCATCTCTTTGTGGCTGTTACTTCAATGTCAGATCATCTATATGTTAACTGTATCCGCCAACGCAAGGCCTTTGTTCTCATTTTTCTCACGACCAATATTGGGGACATAAACACTGATGTGAATCACCGTCCACCGATTTGGCTAGCAGCCAGCTCTCACCACAATAGTACTGCATAAGGTAGCTATTCACTTGGAATCACTTTAACCACCAATGAAGCCTAGTGAGCTGATCCAAAAATATCAACCCCAAAATTACAACTATAAATAAATCATACACATAGAAAAAGAGTTGGTTCTCATAGTTCTGTGGCTTGGTAGTTGACTTTCCGACTTTTGTACCGACTGGTGATTAGTTTAAGCCTACATGAGAAGACTGTCATTCCACGTTATGCAAAACGATCCAGCTGATGAGTAATCTCGAATAGGACGAAAAACTCATCCATTGGCTCTACAGCTGGCTACCATCGAGTATGCAATAAAACAATTTAATAAAACACAACACTTTAAAAAGTTACTCCACACAAAGATTATTCCCACCTGTAGTGCAGATAAAAGATCGTTGGAGATTTGACTGAATTTTCTTAGAACGACTAGTAGTGACATGACCATATGAAATTCAGCACGTCCTTGTGCACGATGCATTAGACGAGTAAGAGTCTGTCAAAAAAAACCAAAAAAATTTCAAGGTATATTTTTTCACAGAAAAAATACAACAATAACACTAGCATAAAATCGATTGCATTTAGTACTCAATATAAATTTATATATATATATATATGCATCGGTGGCTTAGAGGTAGGATGCTCGCCAACGATGCATATGGTATGGGGTTCGATCCCCGGCCGGTGCACCCTTTTACCTCGCTAAGCCGGTAACAAGATCGGTAAAGAGGGGAGGTTCAGAATGAGGCTAGCAACCCTACCCTGAAAAGATAAACCCAGCTGCTACCGAGACTTCGAAGCTCTAGCCTGAAGCCTTATGATCCACTGGGATCGTAAAGGAATAAAATAATTAATAAAAAAAATATATATGAATGCAACTCTGGAAACACGTTAATACTTAGGTACTAAGTTATAAAGTTATATATATTGTGTGGTACTAATCACCCATCTGAACTTCAGTAAGTAGCAAAAGTTGCTGTTAAACGATCCAATAGCGTTAGTTTAATCTTCATATTTAATGAGGGATAGCCTTATATAGATGACAAATATCGATTTACCCTGTTAGACAAAAAATTCTTCGAGTTTAATTATAAGAGGAGAACTAGTAAGGTTAGGCTAGAAAAAGAAGACTGGTGACCAGACTTATAAATAACACTGATTCATAACCCATAATTTGATGTAAGTGAAAGAAATATGTGTTAGCTAGCTGCAGTATGGGTGGCTGTCAAAACGTATTGCTTAGAGATGCGGGATAATATAAGTCGGAAGTGATGGTCAAGACACAGATGCCCTGATGCTTAATAATACTTTTGATAGTAGTATATTATTCTTTTACTAAATTCAGACTTTCTTCCTTCATTATCCTCGTTTTGGCCTTCTTTTTTTGTCCCATTCTATCCGATTTACAGCTAGGACTACAACGAAATAATGGTAGACACTACACTTTTCTATTCCTTTACATTTCCAGTGGAACATAGGGCTTCAAGCTAGAACTTTGAAGTTCCGCTAGCAGTGGTATTTATTTTTACCGGATGGGGTTACTAGCCTTATGCTCAACCTCCCCTCTTCACCAGTCTTATTACTGGCTTTGCGAGACAAAGCAGTGCATCAGCCCAGGATCGAATCCCGAACAATATGCGTTGTTGGTGAGCATTCTACCGCTGTGCCACCGACGCACGGCTTAGGTTTCGTACCAGTTGGCGGTCATCAGCAAGGCGTATCTGCAACTTCAAAGGAACTCATATCCCCTCTAAGATTCGAACCCGGCTTCACTCAGTGCTGCAGTCAGAGACTCTGCCTCTGAGTTAGTGAACAATTAGTTGCAATTTACGCTTGCTGTTCATAATGAAGAATATATAAATGGATACACCATTTCGATCGGAATAATATAATTGCACTTTGACAACAAGTCAAAAGAGGAAAAAAGACAAGTTTACATGGAGTCCTAACATTGATAATACCTAAACCAATCAATCATAGAGAAGGCTACTATTTTTTTAAAAACGCGAATACTTTCTTTAAATTACAGAAAAAATAACTTTCACTGAATTAAAAGTATAAAATGAAAAACTTGCCGTTCCCTCAGTCAAGACATCAGTCGATCCATTTTTAAATATGGTGAATAATAACACTAGAGAATCTTGTGGACTATCTGTCAACTGTAGATGATCTAATACAACACGTTCATTCTGAACAGATGAATTGAAAAGAAGAAAGGCAAAGCGATTGTGATTAGAAATTGTGAAAATAATGCAGTCATATATGACATCAAATGCCTAATTTGCTTAGTCAATAGGTTGAATAAGATATGTAAATAAATATACTGGTAGTGTACAGATAAGATGATTTCAAATTAAAAAGCCTAAATCGCTTTTGTTTCCAAAATCTCCACTTCACGAATTACTATTCTCTGACGTCCCTTCAGACTAACTGAGGTATTCAAATGTGAAATTAATCTTAGCCACTGGAAAAATCGTCACTTTTCATAAATACCTAATCATTCAGTAGTCATGCGAAGTTCTTACCAGACGGTTACCTGATCAACTAGTCTATGGTAACAGGTATAGTGAAGCAGCAGTAAAAGAACGATTTCGGCTTTCGATAATCAACAGATTTTTTTTGAGTCGATTTAAATGCAATTTTTTAACACATAAATACCAAAATTTATATATATCTACCTGCATAAGTTTCACAAGAATGCCAAGAGCAATGGCATAATGTTCTGAATCAAGTTCTTCCGTTTCTGTCTCATTAATTTGTCGAACAGCATTGACTAAAAAAAAAATATATATACATGAGTTTTTTCTTAAGCAGATAGAATATGTGGGAAAAAGAAGTCTGTAAACCGAGTACTACATGTAAAAATGAAAAGACAGCAAACTTATAGGCTGAAGTATTTCAGCTAAGTGACCCCACCGGACACCAGTCAATCTACACGCCTAGTTAGACATTTTCGCCAAAATCTACTGAACAAAGGTGCAATATATTAGACGATCGGAGGCTATCGGCAGGAAGCCCTACCTGACCTAGGTTTCGTGCTAGTTGGCACTAGTCAGCAAGGCGTATCTACAACCTTGCGGAAACTCATATCCCTTCTGAGATTCATATCTCAGAAACCTAGGTCCAAGGCTTCCCTGCTGACTGTCTCCAGCCATCTAATACCAACGATTCACAGTGCACCGTGATGGCGAACCACCTAGGATGGTGGCCACACTGAAAACTGGACTGATAGAATTCAGTCTGTTCCAAAAAAAGGACTAGACAAATTCATTCACATTCAAGGATGACAACAGAGCATAAAAATATCTATAGACAAGGTTATCAGTTAATAAACTAGAGAAATAGATTCTTTCTCAAGCAGCCACTATTGTATCAGTCTTTTAAGATACACTGAACGCTGACAGGTTGCATGTATTAGATCTTACTGAAAGATAGGGAAACAGTAGCTCAAACATTTATACTACACTGATAACAACTCCATATGAATGCCAACAAATAGGACGTCTGGATCTACTATTCAAAATGAACAATGACAACTAACTTGGAACCTTAAATACATCAGTCTGAAATGACTTCCGAAATATACATCAAGAGATCAAATTCTCGACATTCTTTGCAAAATTGCAGAAGAGATGCACAAAAAAGCAGACCAAACTCTGAGATAATGTAACCTTATTTTCTCCCCGTATGCATTTCTTCCAACACGATACGCATTCAACCAGAGGCACTTAAAGTCAATGTATTTTACACACTACTAACAAATGTTATAAGTAGACAACGTCATTAACAATATTTTCTATCGGTATTTTAGAGTTAAGACCATAGCAGCTAAGACCTATTACTGATATGCTATTCTGTATATCATGAGGTGTAAAAAAAAGCATGACTTTCACAATTTAGGACAACGAAATACCTATCTAACTCATGTGTACGTTTTGTGATCATTCTTAAGTACTTCTACCAATTTTCACTTACGCATATATAAACATCGATAACGTGATTGTTCTCATCTTATTAGTGAATTGTTTCTTAGGTATAGATTCTCTTATAATTTGTTACGTGCGATTAAAAGTAGTTTGAAATAGTCTGTAACCTTTACAATACCATACTAATACTGCAGGAGGTAAAAACCGAAAGTGAAGACAAATGAAGTGTCTTGTTGGTCTTATAATCGTGATACACTGAAGATGTTTGAGGTTGGTAGAAGTTATAGCACTTTTTCAGAACCCACATATTTAACCATCTCCACCAGACAAGTAAGAACTAGATTATTCCTGGAAAAATTCTACCGTCTATGCAACACCAACTAGTAGATGTAGACATAAGTCATACCACTCCCATCAATACGTACGAACTAGTATGAAACCAACTGATGCAAATCTTACCAAACTAATCCGACATGGGTTGTCACAATCATTACCTACAAACGTATTGCAATGCAAATAATATCCGTTCGCTAGCAACTGGAGTCAATAGTGAATTAATTGTTTCCCAATAACAACTCTCGCACGCCAGGCCCTGGAGTGGCACCCAAATGAGAGACGACGAATGAGGGAGTAACATGGAGGAGTTCGTGCGAGGAGATCAGAGACTATGGGTAATCATGGAAACAGCTAAAGAAGACCGTATGGAAAACGACAACGCGCTGTTGAAGCCATATGTTCCACTAGGAACCAGAGGGAACAATAATACAATAATACTGTGGACGAGTTCCGTCCCAGAAAACATAATTAAGACATCAATGCAGTTAATGGAGAATGGGTACATATTTTTGCACCTACAACCCAAATAAGTGAAATATGGGGACGAGCCAAAGCCTATTAGAAGAAGTTAAAACCCAGAAAAGCGAAATCCCATACGGCAAGAAACTGGTTTGACTATCACGATATTCATTAGTACGAAGAAATCAATATAATTCCATACAAAAAGACAGTGGTTCAATAGAAAAATCAAGCAAAAAACGGTGACAGCATAGAGGTGTTTAAAATTTAGTCGGAAAACAAGAAGTAAATATTCATGAACTACAGAGACAAATTCCAAGCCACGGCACCTTTGTTTTCATAAACAGTTAACAAACGACACTGACTTTATAAATTGGTTCCATGTTTTAAATCCAGATATTTTTAGGTTATTTTATAAATCATCGTTGCTCCAGACATTCTTCCAGAAAAACACTGAATATGTTGTCTATGATACCACAGAAGGCGAAACTTCAGTTTTATGCAAGGACGCATGGCCCAGATTCACTAGTACTGAGTCGATAGCTCCACTATTTGCGACCCCCATAAGCATTTAGTACTGTAAAGTACGCTGTTACTCAAAAAACATTAGTCTTTATTGTTGTCTATGTAACATGGTGGCACCATAGATACTGAGCGAATAACAACTGGAATTTCTGTCCTGCAATCTCACACTTCAGTTGGAAACAAAATGTCATGAATCATCCAATAAAACCCCCGACTAGTCGTCCCAGCATGAATTGGCTTAAATTCAACTGAAATCAGCATTTTCGTCCAAATTATATGGTAAAAAACTGCAATATACTAGTCTATCGTACATAAAACTCATTAGTGAAATAAAAGCACAAAATCACTTACTATCCCACACGAATCCAGGAAGGCTTAAATTTAAAATAAGCAAAGAAAAAACAGGCAGTGAACAACATTTCTGGATAGAGACATATAATCAGTAAACGGGAAAGCAACATATTTAAAACAAAATAATAGAAACGCTGAGTTTATTGTAAAAATCCTAAACAAATTCTATAACTTCTTCGACAGGAATCGGTCTGTTTGCCTTTCCTACAGACAAGCAGCAGTGTTTCTAACAGCATAAGTTATTTTTAAGTTTATCACAGTTTACGCTGATTGGCAAAGAGTTATATATACATATACCACCAGACACTGAGTTACCAGCAAAGTCCATCAAAATTACCCTATTTAGTATTGTTTTCATCAACTAATTACTTTCTTGAACCTCCGTCTTTACTCACGCTCATTTCTAAACACATTTCCTCATGGAATGAAGGAAATATATCGTGAAGGGTTGAAAACTGTTTCGAAAAGCAGAATAGTGATACAAATGATCCATTGTCGACTATCGTCTTCCTAAAAGGATTCTCTTCCGGAAGTCAATATTTCTCAAAACGAAACAAGCTGAGAAGTTTTCTATAGTTTGGTTTGTAAAGGTTTGTTATGTTTTTACGAGTTGATCACGGATTGATATCAGTCAGAGAACCATTGAAATTCATGAGCCATTGAATCGGGTCCCAGTGGCTGAATGGTATACGAGCCTTGCCTTGCAACCGGAAGGTCCTGGGTTCGAATCCCAGTGGGTGCGTAATGCCGCTGATTCCCAAACTAGGATGAAACAGCAGCTGTCCAGTACTCCCTGGTTTTCAATGGTTCTCTAACTGACATCAATCCGTGATCAACTCGTAAAAAGCTGAGAAGTCTTTGTTGTTTATAAACGCTCTATGCTGATTAAAGCCATTACTCTTTTTCAGTCCTATTCTTAGAATTAACCAAAGGTAAAAAATTAAAGTTAAGACTACGGCACAGTGTGTATAAAGCTAAACAGTAAAAAGTCTAACCCAAAAAGTCCATCATCGATCGCACTAACTAAGTCTCTTTGCCAGTGCTGTGAGCTAAAATTCTGTTAGGTGGAACATATTTTTCATGTACTAAGCTATGAGCAGCACAGTTATCATGTCACACTACCCAGTTGCCTAGGCTCAAGTAGATGGAGAGAGATTGGAACCCAGGACCTAACGGCTGGAAGTTGAGCACTTATATATATATATATATATATATATATATATATATATATATATATATATCCCAATTTGTGAACATATAAGGTCCAGGTAATTCACAAGATTCAATTAGCTGTTAGTCGTCGGTGGACAGCGGTTTATCAGGTTTGTGGAGGAATAAATTTACAGTGATGATAAAGGTTATGCAGCATCACGAATAAACAGGAGTTGAAAACTAGCGTAAGCGTAGAATTTGAACATCATGGAAAATTGTAATTCACTATTAGACAAGTTTAAGTGTCATAACACACAGCAGTGATGAGCGACAAATTGCACTTGAAGCGTCATCCCGTTAACAGTACAGTATCATTGGGCAATATATGAAATAAGCTTACCAAACAAGTTGGGAATTTTCAGCAATTATATTCCCATTTCAAAGTGTACTGTTATTTTACAATTTAATATATCGTCAATATGACATATATAACAGATATGCAGGGGTGAGGGGGGGAGGGGGAAGACTACATACCGTTTCGTTCGACCACGTACATTCGGCGGCAGAAATCCTGGTTTCTACAATGACAGACAATAATACAGTGAATCTTTGTATATTCTTTAAATAATCCTCCTTTTACAATGGATGAATGAATGAAATATAGACAAACTTACAGATGATGCACCAGTGGTTGAAGGATTCTCAGCTTTTCTCAATAACTCTCTTACTCTGAAAATAATTTAAATAGCGTATAGTAAGATGTATGTATGTGTATACACATAGTAAGAGTACGATAGCAAAATAAACAATAATTTCTCTTCTTCCTACTCTGTATAAAACGGAGAAACAGATTGAGAGAAATAAAAAAAAAAATTCTAGAAGAATTATACACCATGCACGAAACAAACAAGTGATTCAGTTGATACAGGTTGTTTATGATGCTGATAAGTGTACAAACGTAAGTTTTAAACAATACAATTACCGTAAGAAAAAGAAATGCCAGAATGGTAAGCAGGACTGATACTGCTGAAAGTGAAATAGCTTGACTTTCATGTTAATGGAGCACTAACAAGACTCGAATCCTGCCTGTGATCTATGTCTTTATTTCAATTTTGAACAATACACCATTTATAAAGTGGGATTCATATGCATATTTGTAACGGCAGAAGCTTACAGACTTGGCAACGGATCTTTATTGAAGAAAAACATATTATACATTCCTAACCATATTAAAGTTACCCTAGGTCAGAGGAGAATGAGTTGTTTTGATTGGTTAGCAACTGACCCGAGACTAAACAACTTGTTCAATGAGGTTATTTCATATTCAAAAAAAAGTAAACTAAATCCAGATTTGAGGAATAAATACTTCTACCTCTGCAGCCATTGACTTAAATTGCTGATTTCAGTTTTGGCCGCTTCTTATCAATCTGCGTCACGCTATACTTACCAAGGGAGAAACATTTATGCATATAAGACTGCACTGAATACTACTTGCTCCCTTGAAGACTATACGACAGGAAAACTCCCTTCACGTTACAAAGATAAAAAGTAATTCTGAAGGATGTAGACGTTACAAGATCTTTTACAGCCATACACCATTGGTCATCAAGTTAAGTGCTATGCCTTTCTTTACACGCAACATGACAGATTAAACTCTCAAGCGCTAATCAGTCCGCTGAGTTTCGCACAGTCAAATAGTTTAACTGAATGTAATGAAATAAGGTTAGTGCATATAACCGATGATATTAATCAGCTGGACTATATTGCCTTTGTGCTTATTTGGCTCATTTATTTGAGTGCCTGATTTTCAGACATTAGATACAGGTTTCTAATCTCGTGCAGTCCAAGCACACCACAGTAATATCACTAGTCTATTAAGTCTGAAAAGTCTGTTCCACGGTAACTGAGTTCTAACTAAAAGAGTAATTAAGAATTAGACCAATTCGAAATGCCAGAGATACTTTAAGTGCAGAATGAGGCACAGCTTTTTTATTTATGGCTCACAAAATCCAATCACAGTCTGAGATGTTGGACAGTTACGAAAGTCTGTATACCAAACACGCAAACACACACACTTAGACGTATGATACAGAAAATACCTAGCGCTTTCCACTGATAAATAAGGCGTTTTCTCCATATAGGGAGACAGCAACAAATGTTTATCACAGGACATGTTTTGTAAGCAATACTTTAATGTAAAGTATTCAAGGATATATCACAAAATAACACCGGAAAGGACCGAAGAAAAGTAAATGTGTTTGCATCTTATAACTACTCAGGTAACAACAGAAATCTGCAACTAGTCTAGCTTTCAACAGAGGAAGTATATATTACTACTCCAAAATGTCCAACCTCAAATATTCAAACAAGATGACATTGTAAAACAATGACACTGAATCAAAGAAACAGGAAACTGTAAATGACAATGAAGGTATCCTCAACTGCCAAAATGATGTTAGAGTTACCAAGCTCTCAAACAAAGTGGTTGGACTTTAAACAAAGTTAAGTATTTACTAATAGAAACAACAAGGACTAATCATAGTCGCTCCCATTGCACACGTATAAAGACCATTCACAAGTGTGAGGTACAATGCAGAGCTAAATTGAACAACAACATTGTAACTAAATACACGAGGGAAATTTTATTATTTCCAAACTAATTGACACACACTTGAGCAAGACTCCATGAATGACTAGTAATCAAGGAGGATTCAAAAGTCTTACTGATACTATTTATTATTTTTATTTTATTTTTGATTACAGCTTGATTCCACACTGTATTTTTTGGTACAAGTATGGAATTTTTCAGCATGGATATTGGTAGCCCAAATTTCGCAGGCCGACCATAGATATCAGGTGTGAGTTGGCAGGGGATCGAACCTCGGACCATGTGCATAGTCGGCGAGAGTCCTAACCACTGTGCCACCGACGCACAGTTGTAGTAGCATATCCTCAATTTTTCACGTAAAGGCTACTGTGACAGAAACAAAAATGTTTCTACAAAATACTAAGAGAACTAAGATGTAGCTGTAAGAAAAGATACATGAAAAGTAACTGGAAAATCTAGACATGCTCTATAGCTGAAGATGATCAAGTCTGTGGTAGGAGTGATAAAATTAACGAATTTTTAATCAAAGCTACTTCATAACAGAAAATGTACAATCCCTTTAAAAGTATCTGTGTAAACTGCTTCCTTTTACAAAAGTGAATTTTAAGAAGCTTAATTGAATCAATCTGATTTCCACCTATATATATATATATATATATATATATATATATATATAAAAGTAAGCGCACAGTAAATTATATTATACGGTAAAAATTACCTGATTAAATTAACACGAATAAGTTCACGACGATACTCGCAGTATTTTGTTAGGCACCCCTGAGAAGCACCTTGCGGTCTGTTTATAAATGATTGATTTTCGCTCATCCATTTAACAAGAAAGCGAAGACTGTTCAACATATCATTAGGTACATCGTCTAACTGTTCCACTCCATCATTTACAGAACTATCCAATGAATCCTTGTCAGAAGGTGAAGCTAATGAACAAGAGTACAGTGTATGGTAGGCTATAATCTAACAAAAAGTAGGATATACAAAAATGTTTAACATGAAGTCTAATATTGATTAAATCGATACAGAAATATGCCACATAAATGCAAGACATTATAGGCTACCTTAAGTAGATTTCGGTAAGATAAAAGAGGCAAAAGGTTACAGTTATTAAGCAAACATGAAAGACTATAGATCTCACAAAGACAAGTCTGGGCTATCCAGAAAGGGAATGCACACTTCTTGACTTAATGAGCTGATAAGCTGAAACTACCTCCTCCACACCCACATTAATAACAACTAGAGGAAAAGTAAACTAATGTTTAACATAAGTATTCACAAACTCTAGTGACGTAAACCCATATCAAAAACAACCGAATCGCCTATACTTGCAATCGCTCACTCCAAGCAAAAAATAGCACGAGTTAATGTCTAATGATTAAGCTTTCGGAGTATGAAAAGAAGTAACAATAGATGACAACAGGACATTTAAAGAATATAAGGAAATACTATCATTTTACTAATACAGTCAGAACGCGCAATGTTAAAAATACCTTGATCTGTGTATTCTCATGACTTTTTGTTCTCAGAATCCACCATCAATGAATCAGCCACTATGTCTTTCATTTATGTACTCTTCAGGTTAGTTCCATTTCACTGTGATGAGTCCCTAGTTTACTGGCTGTTACTAAGCCCATGAAAAAGGGAAGGTTGGGCATAGGCAAGCAACCCCACTCCACAAAACACAACCACATCCCTAATGAAACTTCAAAGCACAGAAGAAGTAAAAAGGATAAACGTATTCTCTGCTGGAATTGGAGAGGAGGATTGACAGTGAAGCAATAAGTCTTCTTCGACAAAGGCAGAAGTACGAATAGGGACATGAAATGTCCACATGGAGTTTGAGACTGGCAAGGATTCATAAACATAAACAAGAGATTAGAAGACATGAAATGGAAGTGCTAGGAATCCGTGAGATTAGAGAGAATGTGCAAAAGGACTCTCCAAATTATCAGTTGGAAGAGATGTGGTGCCGTAGGATAAAGAAAAATTGTATTGAGTTAGCAGTTTTACACATATATTAACATGAGTTAGCATCTATTTGTTACATCATAAATCCCTAGATGTGGTTCGAGAGATAATCCAAATCAGCGGTTTAGAACGCTGTTAGATATAGATGAGAATCGCAATCAGCAGAGAACATGCTTCAACGCTCTGCTTTCTTTTTTTTGCCAAAGTAACACAAAGTAATGAAGGTTCCTCATAAGTATGCTTACTTGTTTTTATTATTACTATTAAAACACAAACTCGGAACATTATGCTGTCTCACAATCATCCTATTTCTCTACTCAATATACTGTTGTTTTATTAACTTTGCGTGGTTCATCTCATGGTGTCCATAATGTACCAAGTTTTTGTCTCCAATATAAATAAACAGAAACCGGGTGTACATCGTCATATATATATATATATATATATATATATATATATATATATATATATATATATATATATATATATATATATATATGTCCTAAATTGCAAAAGCTTACGACTATTTCAAAATTACATAGATACATAATTAGAACATTCACAATAGGGTTATAATATTTAATTTATTTAAACGCAGAAACAGCTTGGTACAATATGACACCAAGAAAGATGCGCCACACAATAATAATAAAACAACATAGATCAAAAGTAAAAAAAATACATATAAGTAGAGAACGGATAAAGAACTTCATCTGGAAGGAAAACAGTCATACTTAACAAGTTCAAACAGCAATCCTTAACTATCATCGGGAAGGGAAGAAAGAAGGAAATTGCAACACGTTCGCCATTGATTACGATTCTTGGCCATATCCGATAACGTTTCGAGCCATCAATTCGAGCTATGTCGCAGACCCCAACCAGGGAGTCATCACGCACCAACCAATGCTAATCTAGCACATACATCCTTCATCCCACGACGCCACGTCATAGACTCACCACCTCTCCGCCTTTTCCATCCCGTCCCAGGGCTAGCGAACAGAGACCTGTACGGAAGCCTCTGGGATGACATTCGAAACACATGTCCAACCCACCGGAGCCGGTGTTTCCAGATGACGACACTCAATGAATGGTGATCTCCACTATGTCTAAACACACGCCGCCGAGCCTCAGAATTACTCACGCGATGATGCCGTCGAACGCAAGCAATCCTGCGGAGACAGCGATAATCGAACACGCAGAGTCGCCGAACATCCTCAGCTCGGAGAGGCCCGGTTTCACAGGCATAAAGCGAGAAAGCCCGCACCGAAGCATTGTATACTTGACCTTTGACAGCCAGACTAAAATCACGACGGCGCTAGAGGTGGCTGAAGTTGATGTATGCCACCCTAGCCTTCATTATACGGTTGGAAATCTCATCCGTCACCCCTCCGCCAGCACTCAAACAACTACCCAGATATACAAACTTATCAACAACTTCAAGCGATTCACCCCCAAGAGTGAGTGTAGGTACAGGCTCCTGCTAATCTTGTAATAATACTTTGCACTTAGACGGCGCAAAGTACATACCATACTTACATAATATAAGTTATGTGATAAGAAACACAACTGATTTTGAAGACTTCTTCAATATGAGAATCTTGCACAAAGGAACAGGAGTTAGTGCCAAATTTTCAAACAATAGAAAAACAGGAAACAAATTTCATAAATGATATTACAACGGGGAGAGAAAGTTTGATAGGCGGTAGAACAACTAGAATAATAATGATGTTCAGAATTTCGAAAATAAAATACAACCCGTTCATTTATGCAACTATGATGTCTATTGGCCATACTTTGAGCAACTAGTATCACTAGATGCAGATTTACTCACATAGAAGCGATAATATTTTTTAGGATGTACGACTATTTTCATTTCAACTGAAAAAAGTTTCATACAAACTAGCTATTACTATTTAACTAACTACTACCCCCAAAACAGCAATGCAATGGACTAGGCAATGGTTAGTTTGCAGGACAATATGCTTGTTTAAATATAGAGTGAAATACAAGTGGACAATCATAAAAGGAAACATACACACACACACACATTTACCTTTGTGATCCATCAATCGTATCAAAGTAGCATCGTTTATAGGACGAAATGCTTGTCTCAGTAATCCATCAAATTCCCGTTCTAAGCTTCCAAGACCAACTGAATATAATGACGTCTGTATTTAAAAAATAAAGCGCATAAAAATGGGAAGAAAATACATGAGTACATGAGATGAAGGGAAGAAAATATACAGTTTAAACATGAGGTAGAAACAATTATCAGACCACTCACTAGTCGACTGAATTCAACATCTTGTGGATTATTTTCTTGAAAAAAGGCTAATGCCTCCTTTATACGTTCCATAGCCTTTAAATAATCGTTTAGTAGGGCTGTTGGCCTATTTTATATATATATGATAAATGCAAAAAATATGTTATTTCAAAATACCCTTGTCTAATAGTGTTCTCTAATTCACGTCCAGCACGATGATACTCCTGTACTTGACTCAATTTTGACCGACATGATTCCAAATCTAAACAAGTAGAATGAAAACATTGATAAGACAAGCAAAAAATTCACGAGAGAAAAAAATAAACTGCCAGTAGCCAGATATGAATAAATAGACGATAAATCACACTCACACACACAAGAACGAATGTCTCAGTGATTCAGTGGTAGAATGCTCACCACACACGCAAAAGGTCATCGGCCGACACATTCCTAAACCTCCCCTAGCTGGCAGTAAGCCCGCAGAAACTACACCACTGCTACTGAAACTTTACCAGCTTGAAACCTTATGTTCCACCCGAATGCAGGACGAGAGAAAATGATCGAATGTTTTCATTAGAAGAAATAGAGCATGTATATGAGAGGGTTTAGTCAGTGTCCTGTGGTACTATCCAAAGTTTGTAACTTCTGAATCTTTTTCATGGGATTTTCTAACACAAAAGGCCAAAGATATCCTACAGAATAAATTTAACACTACCCAGGTCAACAGTCAAAAGATAATCTTTCATTTGCTGTACTCAAAAGGTTGATGATAATTTAACGCGCATAAAGCATGCTATCAACATAATCTAAACTACAGTTTCATAAGACTAGTTAAATTCTACAGATGGGTAGAATAAACTAAAAATGCGAAACATTGCTGAGATGTTTTATTACTATCATTTGTTATTATTTTGATAAGACATCGGGTAATGTACTATTTAATCTGTAATTAAAACAATTAACTGTTTATTTCGTACTGAAATGATGTGGGGCTATTTAGACGGACAATGTTGACTAGTCTGTATATCATCTCTAAATATTTTCACTTCAACAGACCCAAACTTCTTTCTGGTGAGAAGAATATCCGAGGATAATATGTATTCCTAATGAATGAACTTCATTCAAATATTCAAAAGCGAAAAATGGAGGTGTTATCAGAATGCTAACAATAAAAATTAAGCTTCAAAAATGTAACTCTGATTGGATTATTTCCAAGTTCTACTGAGAAGCAATATGCCAGTTAGTACAGAGTCCAGGGATACGTACATTGCAACCCCTCTCATTTATTTAGAAGACTCATTCCTGAGTGAAAAGTGAGCACACATTGTACATTCTAATAGTAGTTTCCTAACTTTTTGTGTAGATTGCTTACACGTATTTAGCTAATCGAACAAACATGATCGCAGAAAACGGAGACGAAGTGTATAAAGACTAGAGTTTTAGATCATCTCGCAGTTTTGATCGGGCCTTTCTCGCGATACACACTGTCACAAAAAAGTCACGACTACGTTTTTCCAAACACTTAAACCACAGAATCACGTCTTTTATCCCGACACTATTGTCTTCTACTCTACTGATAAATATTTATGTAATTGATACTTGTTGAAGGTGAAATGAAAGCTCAAGTTGTGAAAGCACTTAAACCAGAAGTTTCCTGATTACTAGCTCGTTGCTCTACCATCTGATCTGTCAGCCACTAGCCTAGATGGTTGACACCAATAAGTCGGTTTTACACTACATAACAGTATAGGAAAATACTAAACCACTTCTGGTTACTAATTGGCTTCAGTAGAGGTGACTAAAAGTTGTATTAAAATCCATGACTGGTGGGATTAGGGACTCTGCGTACGGGATCAGTGACTCACTAACCACGTTAAGTGGAGATTGAACTTATAGCCAATCAACCATTTACCCAAGCTGACGCTGTCACCGATAAACTCAAAGGGCCAATGACATGCACTCTAAAAGATCATAAAGAGTTTTGAATTAAGGCAAGAATCTGCTCACTATTAAGTGTCAAGTGTTTTTGTGGCTGCTATTATTATTACATTGAAAGATGAAACATCGAGTGAAAACTAACTTCTTTGTAATATTTGAAGTTGTTCCATATTCTTATTCAGCGGCTCCATACGTGTTTGATAAGACTGGACAGTTTCTATAATCTTTTTAAGTTTTTCACTAGACTGATTCGACAGTGCATTGAATTGATCCTTTAAGTTCGAAATTTCTGTCACATAACTTTTTATCTGTAGAAATTAATAAGGTGAATTAACATCAGTAATAATGTAAAACTCTGGTGAGTTGCTTCCTGAGAACAATTAAAAGGTTATCAATAAAGTACTGACCTAGATTCCAGAGAGGTTTGCTATATATATTTATAATTCATTACGAAGAATATCATTCAAAAGTGACACTACTCCACAAGTGAAATAACCTCATGATCATATCAACATAGAATCTTGTGCAGAGACGAAACATTTGGCATAGGAAATAGAAGAGGATATGCGTAGAAAAGCTGGAGTACTTTCATGTCACACGGGCTTAATCCTGTCGTGAAGTTATTTGAGCATCTCAATATAATTATGAACAACAAACTGTACTCAAAACACTATCAGTAAGTAATACTATACCACTGTCTTTATCAAATAAAGTCATTTCATGATGAAGATCAAGGTTGCTTGGTACTTCATAAAGACAAAAAGTGGAAAGACTGAGGCATTTTGAATGATACGGATTCGTCAATGATAGTTCCCTAACCATTCATTCTTAACAACGCGAGAACCCTATTTTACCTACATATTCTCATATCAAGTGGGAGACTTCATAAATAGCCACCACATTTAGGCATGATCACCCGTAGCTTAGAAATTATGAACATATGAACAAAACCATACTTTTTTATACACCGGATCAACACTTTACTTAGTAGTCAATCGCTTACTTGCACCAACAATCTAGTTCGAGGTTGCACCATTTGCAAATAAATAGGTACACCAGCAATGCCTTCGACTGGTGCACTAAAAGGTGCAGCTTAAAACTATATATTGGATAATAGTTCTTTGAATGATGGAAATTAGTCTTGAAAAGAGACATCATGGTTTATTATCCTCTTGTTCACAAATCACTTTAGTACTACTTCATATAACTTAATTACTGCAATGTAACAATTAAGTGAAAAAATTCCACAGACCTTAATTCGAAAAATTTCAGCATGATTATTGTTCGACAAAAGACAGAATTAACTCTTTAGAGTAGTCAAAATATGCAAATGAAGCGAAATTCAATCCGAAGAATTACCTACATACGAATTGTTAATGCATCTTCGGATCAGACGCTGCTTATTGGCTTGTTAAATTGGTCAACAATCCTAACCGTCACACTTCCTATAGTCACACAATTCAGACCAGTCCTCAAGTAGCAATTTGTATCCTAAACATCCCCGGATCTGTCCTTAAGATGTGCAACAAACTTTAGACTTTGTTAAAATGCGTTTACTTACGCTGCACTCAAGGTATCTTTTGAGGGGACAAGAAACTAAAGGTAGGAAAGGTGCTATCAAATGTATCCTACGCTTATTCATGTAACACTTTATGATTACCTTTTTTTGATATCTATCAACGATACCTCCCATGTACCACTTCAACGAAATTTGTAATATGTGCATTTTGAAGATGTCTTCCAGGTGACCTAGGACATATAATCAACGCAGTCTTGTTTGATGGCTTTGACCACATACAGAACTTTCCGAATACCTTGCCACTTCCTAAATGCAAATCATTTTATCAGTTGAATAGTAAAAAACAACACGTTATTTGTACAAATAACACAAGCACATAAAATAAGGTTGTGGAACTTCAACCATAATAGTTATACCACAGCTAAGAAATCAAAACTGCTTAAGTGATTAATATTAACAGCATTACGTGAGAGGCCCAGTCGACAAGAAAGACATATCAAATACCATTTTAACATAAAGTAATATGTATATGTGATTCATTTTACTTACCTGTGCTGATGTCATTTTTCTCTAAGGTAATGGTAAGAGGATACACCAAAATTTGTTTTACAAATAAACTAATTCTGAATGAGTTGCACGTGATATCAGGACCTGAAAATACGAAAATTAACCCACACTTAGAATTCCGTAAAAGCAAATAGTATTCCGGAAAAAATTAGAAGGATGTGAAACCTGTATCTGACTTAAACTTATTCGAATTCATCGGTCAGACAACTTCGTACAGACGCATTTCACTAGATAAGTCAGGAAAACATGACCAATAATTTAGAGATTCAAATAGTGCTACATGCACATCGATTCGAATAGTTGAGCAATATATCACTAAAAATGGTCTTGTTTGATATTAAATAGACACACTTGAATATGATTTCCACTTCATGTGGAAAAAATTAATATCTTTCATAATCTATTCAAATCTTTTAATGAAGAATGTAGTGATAAAAATGAAAGAACATGGTAAAGTTATTAGTCTGGACAATCTTACACAAAATCCCCAAGATGGATAGTAACGCGACTCCCATTTTTGCAGTAGAAGCCATCTATTCTGCAAACGACAACCACTCACGGTGATCATCTGTGTCAAACTCAACGATAAAATCCAATCACCAAGCTCTACATCAGGACGTCCTCTCACTTTTACAACAGTATCCAGAATCTAGCAGCACACAACTTATTTTATTTTAGGTATAACATTACATGTTTTGCGGTTTTCTTGTGTAAGAAAACCAATATGTGTTTGTACAGTGTTGTTCAGGGAAGGTGGGCCAGCAGATTGAAATAACTGCTGGTGTGTAATTGTCTCTGATTTTCTTTGATAGCTGGCTGAAGCTTATCATTTCATCCAAGATAGCTATAAGTCAGGACTCCAATGAGACTCTCGACTTTTTCAACAGAAATTCACGGATGAATTTTATAAGGATAAGTTATTAAGATATGCTTGGAGTGAAAGATCAAAATATGAAGGTCTTTGCCAGTACTTAAGAGACAGGTGACTAATCTATGGCAGCCCAAAACAAAACCACCTAGTGAACGAATTGACGACATTGACAAATTTATTCACAGAAACTGGTTTAACCTGACTATGGGGACTCCTGTTAGGAACTGGAAGGTTTTTTTGGAACATATACAAGAATATCATACTACGTAACCATATCTTAACATTCCATTACTTGTATATTTCCAATTCTTACGAATCTGATTGGTCGCTAGAGGTAGTTTCGTTTTGAGCTGTTATAGTTTCAAGTCACCAGACAACCCCAAGCTTACAATAATTCTAAAATAATTCTAAACTATAGGTCAAAAACGCCTTTTTATAGTAACTGAATATTTTATCTACCTAAAATGAACCCAACAGGTACCGAAATAACGCTGGTGTTTAAAAAAGGGAATAGAACGCTTAATTAATGCAACGAAACCTTAAAAATAGTATTTTCAGATGATATAATGCCTTCATTGCTGAAATAAAGCTAAAAAATTGCAATTAGGTACTGAATTAGGTCTTTTCGTTCTGAAGTAATGCCAATCGGTGCCTAATATGTCCTGTGAGGACTGGAATAACGCTAGTAAGCAAACCCAGTAGGTTCTGATCTACTCCTGTGAACGCCTAGAAAACGAACATAGTGCTGAATTAGTGCAGCTCATATTGAAAACCAAGACCGAGTTCTAGCCCGTGAGCTTAAAGAAAACATTTCCAAACAGATTCATAATTTACTCACTATAGAATGTTAGAGTTATTTCGGAATTAACGAGGATTAATTCAGAATAATAATAATAAGCCTAGGAAACTTCATAACCAAATGATAACACTGACTAAGTAGTTTTTAAATACCCTGTATATGTACTGAATAAGGACATGATTTACTAAAAAAATGGTCAGTAACGAATCTAAAACCACCTTCGACATTAATGCTACTTATACGAAAAACTAGCAAGAACAAAAAAACCAAGAACCGATGACCTTGAACGACAAAATTACCGCTATACCTGATGACCTAGAGAAGTGTTATCCAATATCGAATATCCTGATTACGAGCTAGTACAAACCAGTGATTACTTTGAGCTCTCTTCTTGATTGTAAGGTAGAGGTTCCAGATCTTCGTTGAACTTCTGCGTAGTAAGTCCTGTTCTTCGACTGCTTTAGCGGGTGCGACGATTGGTCAAAATGTGGTTTGTAGTATGCAGTATGTTAGGACTGTGTTGCTGCCGTGAATGGATTTTGATCTAACTTACTCTATTCATTCAGTGTAGTCATAAAGCGGAATAGTGATAATAATAACAGCTTGTAGTGTAGATGATATAGGTTGAGATATGTGAAATAAATATGGTGATCTAAGGAAAAGATAGAGTAGGCGGTACATTGAAAAAAAGCATTAGCGTTTTTCAAGCTAAATGAAACAAGATCATTTCTTCGTCGTTTCTTCTTAGGGGCAGAACGTTTTTTGAACTCTGACAAAAAGCAATGTGAGGTTGGACTACCACAGATTTGTTGGATCGCGGATAGAACAGGAGGTTGGATAGGGTCTGATTACATTTCCTATCATATTATTGAAATAATGATTAGTCATCCATCCGATAATACACTCATCGCTTGTTAGGTCCACAGACACTTCTAAACTTACAGTTGTCGCTATTTACTGATATCACTGGGTGATTGTATGTGCCCTGAACTTCCTTAAATGGTGACTCCGTGAAATATACTTCCTAACATTAGTAGTTTTCCGGAGCTGCATTTCGAGGACAAAATGGGGACACCGATCTCTTAGATCCGTGAACTTTTCACTGTCAAAGCTTGTGTCACTCATGTAACCGGTCTAGTAACTCCTTTTTAGCACAAAAAGTGTAGATAACTCGAAAATTTAAATGTATAAATATACATTCATGTGTAAAATTATGGCAGGTGCAACTAAAGAGTTGTTTGTGGTATAGTGACGATATCCACTGTGGATGTTTTGAATGATGTGACTGTCCAGGAAAAAACAGAGATCATTGTGAAGCAGCTTAGAAAACATATCTCGAAGATAAAACACGCAGGATTAAATACAGCTTCTCCTAATGGTAATTTCAGTGTTGGACCTTTATAACTTGTTACTACTGTAAATCATTTTATCATGTAAATTACAATGCCGTAAAATGCCACTGTGGTCTACCGTAATAATTGTAGTCTGTGGCAAGATCTCGACATTCACTAGGTCTCGATCCTGGATCTCCCTATATCTGTCCCTCGAGCTATCGATCGATGAAAACAGGAGATTTCCTTCCACATGTATAAACAGATAACTTTCACTACAACTGCACTCCACATAAGCCAGATACAGAGCTGTAATGCTGGAGAAACTTATATCTTCCTCTCGAATGTGAAGTGTTCGTCGTTTCGCAGGAGGTGACTTCTGCAGTGATGTAGGAACGGCTTAGTATTTGGTGCATTAATTGTTCGCTTGGCAAATGACATATGAAATGCATGATACTAAAGCCTGTCGTTGAAGTTTCCATTTGCAGGAGACATTTTAATTCTGCTTTATTATCTTCTGTTCACACTTTTTCTATATTTTTTCGAAGATCTCTGTTTCTATTCTTCACTCCAGTATTCGAAATCCTCGCTATAGCTAACACTAATTCTTGCCTGTAGTACGTACCTTCTTTGTCGGTTGGTTGATGTCAGTTCAGCTATTAGTTGGCGTTATCACCAAATAAGTTCTAAATGACTCATTTCAAAACTACGTGTTCCATTGTCACAGAATGATGTCCGGAGTCGCTTCCTGAATAAATCTGTTAGTGACTTTCCATCATTAATATGCTTGAAACGGTGTTCAATTAGGGCTCCGTGAACCTTTATTTTCGAAAATTAATGCATCATGGTCGCTACTGCAAAAAGTAATTCGGACTCAAACCTGTATAATGGTGGATTGCTTTAAGTGAGAAGAAATCTTTTTGAGATGGTTCTCTGTCGTGACCTCATACAGTACCGTACCTCAGGTCTTACTTCACTCTTGCTCATTTGACGGTACTTACCAAGTTTCAGTCAGCTTTCATCTCTCATCTGGGAATGAAATTTTATCACCTACCACAAACAACATCGTACAGACTGGTCCCCCAACATTTCCTGCATTTCTAATATCGAGCGTGGTAACTATCGTGATATTCTGCCATAAATATCCGTTTTTGCACACCATCTGTTAGTCCTTATCTCAGTCATGAATGCGTTTTTACGACAAGATGGATGGACCATGTGTAAGTTACAGTGTCTCAGCTGAATTCCATTATACCAATATGGTTTCTTTAAAATTTGCACTGTAATGCTACATAAGCATAAATCTTAAGGCCTCAAGTCTTTATCAACCTCATTCAACAGCTGGCTATATGATACTGCGGCGTGCCAAGTGATCCACAACAGAAAACTCAGACTTGTGTTCGAAGTGCATACAGGAGTAGGACAATCTGGCTGCTTATTATCACAGATAATATTCATAATTGTGGTGGACTGACTGGATTATGCGTCTGACCGTGAGTAGGGAGTAGGGAGACAGGAAGACTCTGCACTGACTTATAAGAATACTGTAGAAGATCGGGATTTTGCAGATGATTTGTGTTTATTGTCATGCAAACTTGAGGACTTATATGAGGAAACCTGCAAACTGGCTGAAGAGGCAGCGAATACAGGACCCCAGGTGGACACAGAGGAGACGGTGATGAAGATAATCAACCAACAGCACCAAGTACCATCACTGGGAGAAATAAAAATAGAGTTTAAGATAAGATAAGATAATAGCTTTATTCCAAATCAGTGCTTGTGATACATCATGGAATTCTCAGCATTTTTACCACAATATTGCATCCAGTTAGTACATTAACAATAAATAAAGTTCTACATAGATTAAAATTATCTCAGTCAGTTTTGACAACAACATATTAGAATGTCGGTAGCAAAGCCAAAATTTAAACAGTGTTTGAAGGTGTTAGAAAAGTAGATACTACTAGCATATTTACTGGTGTAAGCGATAGCAAAA